AAATTGAAAGTTGCAACACTAAAATGAAATGTCAATTTGACAGATTTGACGTCAACTTGTGGTAGAGTTGAGCTCTACGTAGCAGTTAAGGGACATTGTATACATTACGTGACAGCATTTTTTTATAATATCAAATGACGGGTTATAAGCCGTGCGTCTGGTGGTAAGCAACACGTCTGTCCATAGTACCACAAAGACCACAAAGATCTGAGGAGCACTACCCGTCACAGTCTGAGACATAAGTTGACAAGTGAAAGGAAACACTCACTTTCGAGAAGTATTTTATTTAAAAGGATATTAAATTTGTTACCTCAAGTCTTACAAGGCAGGAATCCATATATGTTTTTAAACTTAAGCTTACCATAAACATATTACTAAATAACGTTAGCAGCATAGGTGTGGACACTGGAAAATTTAAATGTACATCACATTTACCACATGTTCGCAATAAACGTCTTATCTTACCTAATTATTTAAAAAAAATTAAGTTGACTAATGTTAAATATAATTCTAGAATGTTTTGACCTGAACTAGTTTTTAGGTTGTAATTTATTATTATATGACATACTTAATACATATTTAATATGATCTTTTGCTGATTGCAAAAATGTATATTTTTAATTCATTTAAATTCTCATAAATTGTGACACAAATTATATTCTGATTTTAGATTTGACATTGTTGTGTCCTTACAGGGTTCATGTTGATCTATACCAATAATTTAACACCTAGAAATGTGACAACGTGAATGCAATAAATGTTTTGACTTTGACGTTTCATTATATCCAACAGCGAGTCTCATGTGCCTGTAACCGAAACGAAGTAATGCTATATAGTCCAGTAATAAATAAGGTGGCAGTGCTTCCCTGGACGAACTCTACTGTTAATAATTGCAATAATGAATATAATACAAACACAAATTTATGTGATAATTTTAATTGATTTGGTAAGATTTTTACTTTTATAAATCCAAATTTGCGTGCCAATTTTATCATGACAAGAAATGTCTATACAGTATACTATATTAGGTTATCATTACATACCTACTGTTGTAGATATAGTAATATAAAAAAATGTTCTTTGGGTTATGATTCTTGATCAATATTTTGACGAAAATGATTTAAAACATTTTTATAGTGAAAAAAGTTGTGTTGGAAATCACAAATGTTGACCTACATATTACTTTTGTCGGATATTTTTCAAGCTACTTGTGTATCACTATATATTATATTAACGTGTACTACCTGTAGTATAAGTCATTTGATAATTTGTTTTTATCTTCATATTCTTTTTCTGGTATTATTTCGTAAGTTTCACGGAAACTTAATTGAAAAAAAAAAAAATTAAACACCGCTAATACGCTACATAATATTAGTAGCTAGTAAAGATCTGTCGGTCCCAACTCTACCATTATTTGTTTTCACTAGAAGTGAAGGTGCGATTAACAAATAAGTGAATAAAAAATAGACATTCTATTTTAAAGTATACTCATTTAAAATTTGAATTTCATACAGAGCAGTGTGTGCAAATGCGGAACAAATCTATAGGCTGAATAAAGGTATATTTTTGTATAATAACGTAGAGAAAATTAGATACTTCCTGCCTAGATATTTCTGATAGCCCACCAACTAACTGGTCTCAAACATAGACAACTACGTCTCAAATTAGAGAATCCTTGTTACAATTTGCGTTAGGCAGCATTTAGGCCATAATCAGAAATTAATTTGGTAAAGTTTCTATTGGAATTAGTATTAATTTAAGGGTGGTTTATTTTATCTTCTATGATGACGATGTAATGGTCATAGTACAGCAATTTCCCTACTTTTATACTAACTAATTACAATAAGCTTCTGGTACTATGGTACAATTACTTACTTTATTATTATTTATTTTATTTATTTGACACAGCTACAGAACAACTAAAAACTTAATTTTATCGTATCGAGTTCTTGGGTTTTCGCGATTGTTATGCATTGGAAATGAAATTATATTTTTGTATTTAAATTGCATAAGTATATTTGTTTTTTCAAACAAACCAACGTTTTGGGCCCTGTAAAGGGCCCGAGACATTGGTTTGTTTCAAAAAACAAATATACGCGATTTAAATCCTTAATAATAGTTTCATTACCTTTATCAATTAGATACATAAAAAAAGTCAGTAAATTTGCATTCCTTTTACAGATATGCACAATATTTGAGTAGGAAATATAATATATACTTAGATAAAAAAGGGTGTATCTTCATACTTTAAAGTGAGACATGGGGAAAAAATGTACTAGAAAGATTAAAAGCTATAAAAAAAAATTACACAGAAACAGAACTCATTATTAGTGAACAGTTATTTATAAATGTTTTTCTTCTCTATCTTTGCAATTATCATTGTAAGTTCTACACATCCTAAAGATAGGGTTATTATATGTGACATTATTGGTGCAGCAAGAAAGAAAACCTTATTCAAATATATCAACTGGCAAAGGCTGCAGATTAAAGTCTAAACATTCTTTAGTTCCGCTTAAGATTAACTGACGTTGAACTGTTTTTTTATAACATTAAGTGTTGGAACGAACAATTTGTGCGCCTGATGGTAAACTGCACGCCTGTCCATAACAGTTGCAGTACGACTCAGAGCTTTAAATCGCCAAGATCTGAGGGACACTGCCCCTTGTCACCCTGAAACATAAGTTGACAAGTCCCATGTGCCTGTAATTTCACCAGCACCCTTCAGACCCGGAACTCATTAATGCTCATATCATTGCTTGGCAACTCTTTCACAAGAGACTCTAACTGCTATTATATGTTGATGTAATTCTTGAGGCGGACGTTGTTTGATAGGATAGGATAGGAGCTCTCACTGATTTACATTTTTCCTTTGTAACATCATGAAATTAGTTCTTTAGTTTAGTAATTAATAGATTCAGGCGTTACTTTTGCGAAGTCCATGTTAATAAAATTATGATAATAGCTTGTTTTGAATATTTTTTTCACGCAGTTATTTTAACATAAGCGCAGCTGTTTTTCACAATTTAACCTCCAACATTTGAAGTTAATTTTTTAAAATACTGAAGCAAAAAATTTACTTACTTAAATTTATTTGACAGCAGAGATTGCTGAAATTGCCCTATAAAATACCACCAATGCAGTTTGTATGGTATGTATGATAGTGTAGTCTGTTAATTGAGTTTCTTACATCTTTGTTATCTTTTGAAGTCAATGTTACCTAGTGCTCATTTAATAATAATAAGTTGTTTGTGTTGTGTTTTAATATGCTTAAGTTTTGATATGATATATTTGTTTATAATGTTGACTAAAACATATTTCTTTATGTCTTTTTTTACTTTTTATACGTCAAGTATAAATATCCAATTTCTGCTATTATTACTTTTTGTACAATACAACGTATTTAACACAATATTACTTATAAAAACAAATGTCACATTTTTTCAAATTAATGTTGTTTTTGTTTCATTCTTTATGTAAAGAAAAAGGCAAAGATTTGAAACGCCTCAGCCAAGTCTTGGTGAATTATTTTTCTTCTTTTTTTTATAAATAGGCATATGCCAAGTCGTCAGATTAATATTGTCTTGTAAGAGTAAAATTTTTCAATCTTCAGGACAGGCTAAGGCATCTAAGGTCATTCAGCCAGATCTACTAAGGTCTAGATGGTGTATAGAATATTATCATCATCATATCAATATTTCATATTCGATTATAGTATCCTGAAATATTATTTAATTTTTCACAATAGTATGCAGGAATACGTAAATAGTAAAAATTGCCAATGGAATTAAGTAGAGAAAACTGACTTGAAAATTACCCTTTTCACTTTTCTTCAATGATTTAATTTAAAGGCAAAGCCAGGTCTTCAGTATGAGACATCTATCTGAAGTCATCTATCTTATCTCAATTTTGTTTTTATTTTTAATGAGCTTGGCTACAAAGTTGTCAGCTAAAAATTATACATAACAATTTTAAAAATTAATATATCAAAAGCTATTAATATCTTAACTTAAAAACATCGCAGAGGTGCATTCCCCTATCACAAGTTCGATTTCTGCTATTCTAAAGCTCTATATACTCTTTTGAAAGGACCAGAATTCATTAGTGGAACATGTTGCTACAGTATACTTTATCTATTACATGATACGTGAAACGAAATAACACGACGTTGGTCATTTATATTCATTGATAAATATGCTTCCTTTCTAATTATGGTTTTGTTTAAATAAAGTTTTCATGTGAGTTAGATATGGCTCCTGCTGTATGTGACTACTTGCTCGACTAGGTTTGTCAGTTTTTTTCTATTTTTTTTAAATCTTGTTTTAAGAGGCTTGAAACGTTTGGGCGTTTATGTCGGCCTCGTAATGTATGTTTACATATAAATAACTATCCCACTTTATCTGCCCTACTTCCATGAGAGGTATTGCTCCTCATCAGAAAGCAAGACCTCACTTAGAAGTATAGAGCTTCAGAATTCTTCGTCCACGGGTTGCTCAGCATTAAATTTAGCTCTCTTACCTGACCAATGTCTTTTACTTGACATTGGGCCCGACAGCCCGCTTATCGATCACAATTCATTAAATGAAGCATGTCTTCCAACTTGTTACAGAATTGGCATTGAGGGGATTCTGCTCTTCCCATGAGATAGTAAAATTTGTTTAATGGAATGTAACCAGAACGCAGTCTAAAAGCAATTATTAGCAGTAACTTTGATGGGCCACTGGGCGCTGTGGCAGTGCCCCTCACATTTTTGCCATTTAATATTGTTATATGTAGTTTAATATGTAAGTTATGGACAGGCGTGTCGCTTTCCACCAGGCGCACGACTTAAAAAAATACACACAGGTAGACAACGACAAATCACACCCAAACTCGCTAGATAAATAAATGTACGCCATACAAATATTTCTCCCGGCTCGGGAATCGAACCCGGGACCTCTGCGTGGCAATCCAGTGTGATAACCGTTCGGCTACGGAGGCAGTTTTCGTTCAGAGGCAGATTCTGTGAAGTGATTAATGCAAATTATAAATTCACAATCTTGACAGGTATCTGAAGATGGAGGAAGCAGCCTCACTGCGCAGGGCAGCACCGTGCTGGAGCCTGAGCGGCGACCAGCAACTTCTCGATGCTCTGCAGAACTTACACCAGGTAACCAATACACGATTTCTGGTTTCAATGATCTTCAGACCAAAACAATATCTTTTTAGGTGGTGTTAACTAATATAACTCTGAAATTTCCAGGTATAATTGAGGCTATCAGCGCAATAGTGGTGTAACCCACACAATTTTTTTTCTACAATATTTGTTTAATTTAAATGATTTGTAACCGACTTCAAAAAAAGGAAGAGGTTCTCTATTCGACTATGTGTTTTTTGTTACGCGATAACTCCGCCATTTGTGAACCGATTTTGATGATTCTTTTTTTGTTGGAAAGAGGGTACCTCAGAAGTGATCCCATTTATTGTTTTTGAAGCAAATATTCCACCCCTAAGGGTGGTAAACTAGGGGATGAATGACTTTTGAGGTCGGTTTTTTTAGTACTCTGTACTGAGGTTAGGTTATATATAAAGTACATAATTATTTTATGTATGAATTCTACTTTCATGTATAAAAAAAAATTACACATGTAAATAGATTCTGGCTGTCTGATTAGAATAGGTACTTCGAGTGGCATACTGAAGTACTTACTTGGGAAATGATTGGTTCTGCATACAAATGTTTTCTCCCCTATTTCACCTTTTTTAAGATTTATTTTTGGACAAAAAGTAGCCTGTGTCCTTCTTCTAGGTTCCCCATCTCTCTATCCCAAAATTCATCAAAATTGGTTCAGCGGTTCAGAGTTACTTTCGCATTTATGATATAAGTTTGGATTACGTACTTTAGTATCATTTAAAGTAATATTGTAGAAAAATAAATTAATGTGGGTTACACCACTATTGCGCAGATATATAATTATAACGTTTGTATTAAAAAAACCAACCTCAAAAGTTTGTGGAATTACATCTATTTGCCCAGTTTTATTGAAATCGGTTAACTGAAAGTGGGTGAACTCCAATTAACTTGATTCATCCCTGAATTTCCCACCCTTAGAAGTGGAATGTTTTCTTCAAATTGGGATGGGACCATCAAAGAATGCATTTTCTAATAAAAAAAAGAATCATGGAAATCGGTTCACAAATGTCGGGCATGATCGCGTAACATACCTACACACAAAAAAATACAGTCAAATTGAGAACCTCCTCATTTGAAGTCGGTTAAAATGTGACCGTAACGAACAGACACGTGAAAGATTTAATATTGTTGCAAATGGATTCCGGAGACTGCTGGTAAAAGTTTGTTTTAAGTATTAGAAAAATCAACATAATAATTTGTATGTTATCATTCTAAAAGAAATAAGTTTGAACAAAGCGTACTTTCAAAGCATGAATTATTAATACGAATTCAACGACCGCTATTATCATTTCTGTTGTAATTAGTGGGAATAATTATCATTTAATATTAATTTATATTAAATAGAACCAAAAATTGTACCTCTCTTTTTACTTTCACATTGAAGTACTGTAAAAATAGCATACTATACTTTTTTTTTTATAAAAAAAAGACCGGCTTCAAAATTTTGTATTTCCGCTTTCGCTTTGTTCGGTCTCGACTATTGAATCGCAGGTGGAAGTCCTCGTCAAAACGAATCATAAGAACCTAAATACAACCTAGCTGGGTTTAAAACTATAGTGAAACAAAAATTTTATACAAAAGGTTGTTATACAGCTTCTGCGTACTTGGATGACAAAAATCCGATCTATAATATGATAAATAGATATGATATGATAGAGCATCCCCTAGAGTTTCTTGCTCATTCTTCTCAGGGGAATCTGCCTTACGAATGAGCGGTTGAGTTTAACCAAAAATTTCAAGTGTAATTTACTTACGTTTCAAATAATAATGATAATAACTGACACACGCAACATAGCCCCTCACTAGGGTAACCCTGTGTCGCGGGTGCCATGGACACACATAGACAACCACAAATTACACCCACACTCACGAGAGAAATAAATGTAGGCCATACAAATTTTTCTCCCGGCCCGGGAATTCAACCTGGGACCTCTGCGTGGCAATCCGGTACGGTAACCGTTCGGCCACGGAGGCAGTTAAATAAAGATGTTTATGATGTATTTAAAAAACTTGTAGCGAACCACATTTAAATTCGCGCGCCCTCAAGTTGATTCCACTGTGAGACGGCGCTTGCGAGCACCGCTGACCAATAAGAGAAGAGAGGTGAAGAAAAAGAGAGAATGTCATGGCGGCTCCGTGTGTGAAAAACTTAGTTTCAAACTTGTAAAACAATCTTGCGTCTTTTTAGTGAATATACAAATTACTATAAGATCGGTGTTCTTTAATTCACATCCAAGAACCCGACACTGGTGACCCCGACTCTCAAGTCATAAAAAAAAGGGTGGTTTTGTTACAAATGCGAGTTTCGGGTTATGAAAAGTTGAAAAAGATTTGGCAGTTTATAACTTCTTGGAGTTCGCTACTGTGATTTCCAACGTTACTGTAAAGTTTTGAATTGAATCAAAGTCAAAGAAGATATTTTGCCAAAGTGCATTGTGAATTGTGACATAGGCGACTGAGTGTCTCTGCTTCTGGTTGTGCCACTGAGACTTATGATGCACCCTAATGTAATATATAATGTACCCTCTCCGTAAAGAAGACATATGTCTGGTAGTGGGATGTGTAAAGTGTTGTTGATCATTCGTAGTCAAAGAAGAACACAATTGTGAATGACACAATAGTTTATTTGTAACAATAACAAAATAATAATTCATTACATCATAGCCATTGTAGCAACAGACAAACAAAACATTCTATAGAAGAAATTCCACTTTACGGATTATAAGGTATTCATACCAAATGAAATGCTGTAGGAAAAACGGTCAGTACGCAGGAACGTCCTGGGTTTGAACAAAAATGTGTTTTGATTGTCGAACTTGAAATAAAATCTGTACAGAGAATAAATACTACAGCAAAGACTCAAAGTGCCTTTATATTTAGTGTTTTTGTTTTTATAAAGTGAATAAATAGATTTCTCACAGATGGCGCTACGGCAAAAAAGTTCGTTCCGTGCCTTACTTGGCATGGTGTCTGGCACGGTTTGCTGGACGACGTTTGTTTGAACCCATTCAGACTGAAGGAATCTTTTCTAAGTGTTCGGTTTTGTATTGATAATTATAACAAACTATTGGAGTAATTTTACAAAAACAATAATTGAATATCATGCTGATGAAGCATCCCGACATTCAATTAACTTAAAAAATAATTTGTTTTTATTTTTGTTTTTGTGCTATAACTTTTTTGTTCTTTCGTTTCCTTTTTGTTCTTTTTATTACTATTCTTTCTATTTATTAGTGTTTGTTTTCTTCTCATTGGGCGTCATTTATGCTAAAGAAATATTTTTTCTTCTTTTCAAATTGTTGAACGAATGAAACTTAAATAAAAAAAAAACTCGCGAAACAAAATTCTTTAAAACTAGGTAGTGTACAGTCAGATCAAAGTTACCATAATATTATAAGGTCAAAGGTGAACAAGCACATGTCAAACATGAGAGAATGGAGAGTGTAGATTCTGCCACGAGAAGGATGAAACTCTTGTTCATCTTCTCTACCAATGCGTACGAAGCTCCCATACTAAGAAGGCGCATGCCACAACCAGAGGATATAAAATCTGTTGGAGCCAGGAAAGTCTTTCAGTTCCTCAATGCTGTCAAGTTGCCATACTAAATTTCAAGTCAAATGTTCATTAAGCCTAGCTAAGAATCATCTCGAATTTGCCTTCAAATAAAAAAAAATGTGTGCAACAGTGTACAAATAAAATGCAAGTTGAATTTCCTAATTTGAACTGTATTTCTAAAAATAACTTAAATTTAGACCTGCCGTTACAATATAATCTAATAGGTCGTTGCGTTATATCCGGCTCTAAGGGACACAAACTTGCATGTAGAAATATAATCCAAGTAGAATTTGTATTCAAAATAATTGAAATTTATACTTGCAGAAAAAAACAGTATTGCCTGCCCAAAATAAAAATGGAACATTGCCTTATTCTTAATTTATAAATTCTACAAAATTATACATGTATATACTATTACTATTTGTTTAAATTATATATTATATAAATCTTTCTTAAACAAACTGCTTTTAGGTCAGTCCATATGTTCGATACCACAGACAGACATACGTCTGCTCATTAAGGCTATCCCTCTTTTGCATTGGGGGTTAAAAAGTTGAATACTATTACAGTCGTCACCAAATAAGAGGCCAAATTTGACACTTGTCATCGTGACGCGAATAGAGATGTGGACTAATCATATCGGTAATCACATTATACGATTTTAACGAGAAATCGATTCAAAATTTTAAGATTTTGTAAAATGTTTAGATTATTTTTCGGTCCATTGTTGTTCAGGGGGCCTATAAGGCCAAATCGTACAATTCAGTTAAAAGCAATTCATTTACAGAATTCTTTGCAATTCTGTAGCAATTCCTCTTATTTTCGTAAAATTCCGATGAATTGCATCCAATTCTTTCAATTTTGATTTTATAATATGCATAAATGGATTATTACGAGAATTTAGTGTAAATAAGTATATTCATCAATAAAACAACTACATAAGTCAATGTTTTTTCCGAGAAATCGAAGTGACTAGGAGAAATTCGGCGATTAATTGCTTACAACACTATTATTTAAGAAAAAATAGCTTGAGGACGTATTTTTTTTCAGGACATTTCGGAGTAACTCAAAATTGCATTTTATTTTGGAATTCGTGCGAAAACAGTACTTCAAATATGTTTTATCATATTATATAATGTTTCAATAAAATTTTTGAATTTTTTAAACTCAATTATGTTAATAATTGTTTGTTTATTGTTTCAAAGTCAAAGTCAAAGTCAAAGATTATTTATTCCATAGGTAAAATAAATTTACACTTGAAAACGTCACATTTAAGCTACTGCTCGTTCACTACGCTGACCTCCCTGAGAAGAACGAGCAAGAAACTCTAGGGATTGCTCTTTTCAAATAAACTTTAATGCTATGGAATACACTTTGAATCAAATTTGTGTGGATTCTGGAGCCATGTCGTCTTTCCATACATCTTTATCTAACACGTAGTCTTCAATTTTGTAATATGATTTTTCGATCAAAATATTTTTAATGTAGTTTCTAAACTTAGGAAATGATAAACTTAATATATGCTCCGGAATCTTATTGTAAAAACGTATACAGTTCCCCATAAAAGAGTTGTTTACCTTGGTTAAACGAAATCGTGGTACCATGAGTTTGGACTTAGCTCTAAGGTTAATATTATGGATATCTTCTTTCTTATTGAAATTGTGTATATTTTTACGGGCATATAAAATATTTGAGTAAATGTACTGTGATGCCACAGTCATGATACCAGTCTCCTTAAACTTTTCTCTGAGAGATACCCGAGAGCCTAGACGGTACACAGAACGAATCGCTCGTTTTTGCAATACAAATATGGTTTGAATATCTGCCGCTTTACCCCACATGAGAATCCCGTAGGACATTATACTATGGAAGTAACTAAAGTAAACTAGTCTAGCAGTACTAACATCGGTAAGCTCACGTATTCTGCGGACTGCGTATGCAGCGGAGCTTAATCTGCTGGCCAGGGACGATATATGTGGAAACCACTGAAGTTTACTATCTAAGGTCACTCCCAAGAAGACTGCTTTATTAACAAGGTCTAACTTTTCTCCGTTTATTTCTATGGTTGGACTAGTCGATTTTACGTTAGGTAATTCAAATTTAACACATTTTGTCTTCTTGGCATTAAGCAATAAATTGTTAGCATTAAACCAATAAACTACCTTAGAGAGAGTATCATTAATACGGTCATAGTTATTGTCATGTCTGTCTGTTTTAAAAATCAAGGATGTGTCATCAGCAAACAACGTTGCTTCGTTGATCGCATTCAAAGTTGCATACTATCGCCTTCATTAGCTGTCAAATTTGGCCTCTGATTTGGTGACGACTATAGTGCTATTACTTTCCAATACAAAGTTTAGACCCAGATGGCAAGTTTAGGGTGTAATATTTGAGCTTCAAACTGGCTTTCTTAGGCCCACATTCATTATTATATTACATTAGTACTCAGACTTTAACTGCCTCCGGTACTATGCTGGTCTGCCACGCAGAGGTCCCGGGTTTGTTTCCCGGTCCGTGAGAAATATTTGTATTGTCTATATTTGTTTCTCTCATGAGTTTGGGTGTAATTTGTTGTTGTTTATGTGTGTGTGTGCATGGCACCCGTGATACAGGATGTGCGTTTTTAGACATAATTTTATTGCTGTGATAACAGAGAGAAAAGCTCGTCAAAATTGACAATAAGGATTCAAACTAACTCTACGTTGCTTGCGTTAAGGACGGTCCAAAGTTGTGAAGCCTGACCTGCTGTTGACTGTATTTGTTTGAGACTTCGATTTTTTTTGCAGAGAATCATATCAAAATGCGAAGAAACCAACACTCGACTCGGTAATATGGCGTCAGCTCTCACGCACGCTTCTATCGCGCTGCACAACGTCAACAACAAGTTGGTATTCGTATTAACACTGACAAGTTAGTGCTGGACCCTCGATAAGTTACCGTACTTGAAAGAATATCCTTTTGACATGACCAAAGACACAGTTAACAATAACTTTAAAAAAACCGGCCTCTAAAGCTTGCGTAACAGCTTTTGTTGTGTTCTTTACCATGATTTCCTCAACGATGACTGAAACGACTCCTATGAACCCAAACACAAGATAGTCGCTGTACACTTTTGAAGAGCTTCTCTTCTTCCTCTGTTTATTGAAATCTGTTAACGTGTAAAATGTAAATTCAATAAGCCGGATTCAGCCCTTACTTTGCCACACTTACTGCCTCCGTGGACGAACGGTTGCCATGGCGGACTGCCACGCTGAGGTCCTAGCTTCGATTCCCGGGCCGGGAGAATGTTTTGTATGGGCTACATTTCTTTCTCTCGTGAGTTTGGGTGTAATTTGTGGTTGTCTATGTGTGAGGTACCTACCCGCTTTGCAACAAAAAGAATTCGGTTCTCTAATTTCGGAGTTATCGCCTTGAATCATATGAAGTCGATTAAAAATAAAGAACCCATTTTAATTTTAAAGTTGAGTAAAAACGCAAGACTTAGCGCTAATATTTTTGAGGATCCAGTAGTAATTGGTCAGCCTTTAAATATCGTCGTGCATATCTCTCACTGGAGTTGACAGAAACTACACAACTATAATTGCTACAAGTACTCTATGGCACGATTTAATTCCGCCATCCCCTTTCCATCATCGGAATAGTAGACGTAGACTGAGGTTCCATCTCTATATTGTAGATATTCCAAGAATTCGCACGAAACGTTTCGCTTTCACATTTATATGGCGAACTGTCTGCAGGCTTGTTTCTTGAACGTTATAACTTGTGCCTTTTCAAGGCGAGAATAGGCATTGTATAGGTGTACATGTGTCAGGTGAGATGGAGATCAAACGCACTTCTGTTAACCACGAAAAAACATCTGACGGAAATTTATCTTTTTTCCTTTTTTAAGCGGTGTTTCGATTTCAGATTCATGGCTCTCAGCAACAGCCAGTTTATAGAGAGCAGAGTGTACGATGACGATGTCGAGGTTAAAGCGGACACTGTACCAGCGAAGGTACTGTATTAACACTTCCATAAATTTTGGCCGAATTTGTATGAACACTTTGTATGAAACAGCTGATTAAAGATTAGATCCGTTGTAAAAGATGATGACATCAATGAAATGACTAATAAATAAAATATCACCCTATATAATACTTTCCAGGACCCCCCTCAGGTCGCAGCAGGGTCGGATCTAGAAATATTAAAATCCAGTCTCATACAATTAGAACAAATGCATGAAACTGTCACTATCCTGAATGACAGTGACACCGACAGTGAAGACGAAGACCAACTTGCCAGGTAATTACTTCTATACTTTTGTACACATAACAGCATATCAAACTACTACACGTTGACCTTGAGCGCTTCGAATGTTAAACATAGACAATCGCACGCAAAAGACGAGTACCGTGGTCACAGTATGGTGTCATAAATTTCATGGTGCACTGGCGCCTTATGCAGGGATGGCGTTAGGGCGCATTTATTTGACATGAATTTCATTGCGCTCACGCCGAGCGGAGTCATGTCAAAATAGGCTCTATTTATTTAGCTTTTACATTTTAACTTAAAGGAGCGTCCCGGGCACGCGAGAGAGGTTGGCTTGAATTTGGTCCACGCGGCGGCCGCGCGGGTATATTCTTCAGAGGAATTTAAATGTTATTGCCTAGTAAATAGAATTCAGACTCGCCATTAATGAAAACTTTCTCCTGTAACTGGGCGCTTAGTATGCTGTATTAACTTGCGTACTTGACAAAGTTGTTCTTTCTTTTGCGTATTTTAATTGTATTTTAATAGTGAATAAAGTGTTTGTCTATTTATTTACTATATTTGAATAAGTGTATAATTGAATAGTTGCCATCTTGAATACGTGCGTAATTCAATACTTGCGTAAATAAAAAAAAGTAAATACCTACAAATACAAAAGTGTATTTTCATTAATTATTTTAAATACTTTATTGGTTCCCCGTGTATATTTCTGACTATCCGCTCACTTTTAGAATGAGTGAACCAAAATTATAATTTCATGAATTCTGTAGATTTTCTGTTCATTATCATGAATTGGATTACCATCTGCAATGTCGTACATATGTATTACATCTGTATAACGTTCTTGGCACAGGGTGGTGCTGAAACCAAAGGACTTGTATACAGATCGACCTTTGCCTCATATCATCGGATCGTATGCATGGAAAACCAAATGGCACGCAGGTATGTCTAACATATATTATATATACATGATGAAATGGAAATCCTGATACCAATTACATTAGGATAAAAATTATGCAATTTAAAATTATCAATATCGTATTGTGATACAGTGGTCCACCGTTAAAATTGCAAGCACATCAAAAAATGTATTTGCGGCGATCATATTGTTTTTTTTTCAGCCGCTTTGTATTTTTTCAGGTCTCTTGCCGGACGACAGCGACTCGGACAGTACCACGTCGAAGCCGGACCGTGAGCCGGAGCAGTACTCCGATTCGGAGCCGGACTCCACCGGGAACATACAAACAGACAGGCAGCGGGATACCACAGTGAGTCCAATTCAAACTCAGATAAGATTTTTGTTTCATGGGAACCGAAATTACACTGATATCCGTCATTTGTGGTTACAATACCATTGAAAACGTGTGAACCTAGTGGACTATGGCTACAGCCTTAACCCTTTTAGAAAAAACCCGTGCACAGCACGGCCACTATTTTGCTATTTCACAACAATTCATGAAAGTTCAATCGCTATCGGATTCGATCGAACAAACCTAAATAGACATAATAAATAAGTACATTCATTTTCTACCGACTTGAAAAATGTCTCGATAGTACTGTATTTTTTTGCGTGTATGTATGTTGCGCAATTACTCCGAGTGACGTTTGGAAACCGATTTCAATGATTCTTTAGTATAGTAGTCTCATTGAAATTTGAAGAAAATATTCCACGTCTAAGAGTGACAAGCTTATTGGATTTCCTGCACTTTACGTTTCAATAAAGGTTGGCAAATAAATGTAGGTCGATTTTTTATACGATTGTATCGTACTCCTCGTGTAGGCCACATCTGGCTAACTTTTCTATTCTAAAATAGGACAGTTATAAAATTTCACCGTATATAATTTGTTTCATGTGATTTGCGTTATTTTTATGCCTTTCACGCGATAAAATCATTTCATTTTAAAAAAATTTAAAAAGCATTGTATTTTTTTCTAAGTTCATGCATATACATTACATTTAAAACTATGTCTATTAAAAATACAAAGAGAAGACACATTTTAAAGTTTTTCATTTTATTTCAATATAAATAATTAAATTCACCTGTCCTTATTAAAGTTGTAAATAAATAAAAATTGATTTCGGTACTTGTAGGCTAACTGTCAAATGGGAGTAAAGGAGGTGATAACGTAATTACTGACCTTTTGAACGTCGTAACATTCACAATTAAGACATTTTTGGCAACATTTTACCTTCTTTCATAACCTATTGATAAAATTATCGGCGACGACCATTTAAATTTTTTTGAAAACCGGCAACCCTGCATATGTCGTTTTACTCCATGGTCGAAAAAGACAGACTTTAGATTAGTTAAAAAGAAAGCGGCTGTTTCTTCCAAGTGGGCTACCAGTATTATGAATGGCGCAGGTTTCGTCGTCGGCCTCATCGCTGGCGCCGTCGCCTCCCCCGGCGCCCGCCGCCGTGGCGCTGGACCTGGCGCGGCGCCTCGGGCTGGGCGCCACCGCCTCCCCCGCCTCCCCCGTCTCCCCCGCAGACACACCCAAGGTGAGCAGGGGATAACTTCAAACGACTTGGGTTCAAATTCCTTTCAAATTTAACTGCCTCCGTGGCCGTACGGTTACCATGCCGGACTGCCACGCAGAGGTCCGTCTCGTGTTCGATTCCCGGGCCGGGAAAAACATTTGTATGACCTACATTTATTTCTCTCGTGAGTTTGGGTGTAATTTGTGGTTGTCTATGTGCGTGTCCATGGCACCCGTAACACAGGGTTTCCCTAGTGGGGGGCTATGTAATAAAATTGATTGTGGTATGTACTAGTATAATGTACTTACATGTTATCATTATAAATCATCACGGAGAGGACTTACTCTCTGACGTCGGCACGGTCGGTCGGGGTCAAGGATTCGAGTTTAAGAACCATTGAACGATACGTGTCGTATATTTTTTTTAAAAAAGGGCAGGTTGTTTTAATTTTCATTTTAAGTATAATTTAAAATTAAAAACTAATCGACTATAGTTTTTTTTTTCATTCATTTACTAATTCAATTACAAATACTGTTTTGTCGAGTGGGTCGAGGTACACACATTAGGGAAACCCTGGGTCGCGGTTGATGTGGACACACACATAGACAATCACAAATTACATCGAAGAAAAAAGTAAACGTTGAAATACAAATATTTCACCCAACCCGGGAATCGAACCCGAGACCTCTGCTTGGCAGACCAGCTTCGTAACCGTTAGCGGAGGCAATTAATTTGTGTTTTTGCAAATTTTGTTAACATTAATTCAAAAAGCTTTTTTTAATTTATTACACTTTGAGTTTATCAATTTTCAGCAGTCTCTGGTTTGTCACAAAATATAAAAAAAGAATGCATCTTTTGATTTCCATTTTCTTTCAATAAATGTTCAGTAGGGTTGTACCGAGTCAATGTTAATTTAATAGCTACTATAAAGTAGCCACTGTCCGGTAGATATAAATATAATTTATATTCTCACTATTTTTATGTTTCTGTTCGTTACAATAATAGGGAATGAGCTGCTTTAAAATCAGATGCATTTATTGCAGATGCCAGAAACAGAAGAAGAATTCACGCCACCAAAACCCGCAGTCAGGAAAATGTACAGACCGGAACAGCCTAGTGCAGGTAAGTACTTGCATAAAGAAATATAACAATTGCAATGGACCTATGTCCAGTAGTGGATTACGAAAGGTTATATCATTATAACATACTTTAAATTCTTTTGATTTCGACTTTTACTTGTTCAAAATTCGTAGGAATTAAATGAACACGTGGCTAACTTGAATATAATGTCCCAAATAAAAACCCTCGGGCCTTTTTTCTTGATCAATAAGGGTTAACAAAAAAATTCAATACGTAATCTTAATCTCTTATTTTGTCGGTTAGAAGGCTATTCTATATCTTTAAATTTACTACTATATCTTTAAATTTACTACTACACTGTCTCCTAGTAGAGCAGTTACGCGTGAACTTGAAATTTGTTCATACGTATGCTTACCTGCCACATTGTTTTTTATCTAGTATTATGTAAATATTAATTGTTCTACCTTCAGGGGCAATATTCTCCGACGAACCCCCACCATTGGACACGGTGTCAACATCGTCAAACGACGACATATTTGCCGAACTACATCGCGGCCAACATCGCGACCATCATTGGGGCCAACATCGGCACCAACCCGTCGACGTGTTCGTTACTAAGCAAGCTCCTGACGATTTGTTTTCTAACGATGACGACGACGCCGGTGATATATTTAGTGACTTCGCTGAAACTAACAAGGTAGAGGTTATAATGTTGACTATAGATCTCGCTCTGGAAATGAATTATTAATAACAATAATAAATCTTTATTACGGACGACAGAGATCCATGAAGTGTTAGTAACAATAAAGTTATAATTAGGCTAGTATTTAAATTCTGCCGCGGATTTTGTGCTTGTTATTAAATGCCGCATCATGGGGCACTCAATCGTTGCCGCGATAGCCTTCAGGAGACCGCTGCTGCTGGCACGTATTCTGTGTAATGAAGATACCGACGTAAGAGTGCCACGAAGCTGTTGACACGAGTCTCAGCAAACATTTGCCACGCACTGCAGAACCGTGGCCGCCGCTGCAGCGTCCTGAAGGCGTTATTACAAGTATTTACTGCGTACACAAGGCCCTGAGCGAGCTTCGGATATAGCGGGCTGAGTACAGTGGTATACTATAATAGGCTCTGAAAAAAATTACCTCCACCTCCATCGTACATTGAGCAAACATGCGAGTCAGAAACTTGCATGCGTCCGTCCGTATCACGCGTAAAGAAATTTGAACTTACTGACGTAATATTCAAGTATAATATATGTACACACATTGTTTGATGGCAAATGTACTAATTTCCCTTATCATTTCTACATGTGGCACGAATTACATTGCGAACAATTTTTGGCCAAATATTGGGCCCAATACGACGATTTGTTTGCCATAGTCGTAATATAATAATATATTATAATAATGTGTAAGTTATTTTCAAACGAAGTCAACCATTTTAGGGTAAATAATAAATTCGTAAACGCTGGTTGGCGAAAGGTAACTATTGCATCTTGAATCACAGTACCAGTATGTGTAAAAAGAAAACTGAACTAAGCGAACATTTGTCAATCCAGATGCATATAATCAGTCTTTTGTTCTTAATAAAGTGGTCCCTCTATATTTTATCATTAATTTCCAGCCTACACAGAACCCAGTGCCTAGTACCAAGTCAAAATCAACCTTATTCGATGACGAACCAGAACCTGATTTGTTTGCTGAAAAACCAAAGCTCGAAGGAAGTGTTAAAAGCGAATACAATGATAGAGTAAAGGTAATACTTATTTCTATATCTGTATTGCTCGGTAGTTAGGTACTATGGCCCCGGACAATGGTAGAAATAACTAAAACACTTATACATCTCGTGAAAGAGTTCGTCATTTCTACCGTCAAGCAGTAATGTGACCATTACTGCGTTCCGGTTTTGAAGGGTGCTGGTGAAATTACAGGCACGAGATACTTGTCAGCTTATGTCTCAGGATGACGGGCGCAGTGGTGGTGCGCCTCAGATCTTTGCAATTTAAAGTTCTGAGTGGCACTGTAATTGTTATTAATCAGGCGCACGACTTGTTCGTCCCGTCACATTGTTATAAAAAAAAATTAAAAAAGAAGAAAAAATGCGGAAAGAAAGAAATTGATTAATTATCACAATTTTCTGTGGCATATTATACAGCGCCCCTAACGCATGGTCACATAGGCCGCTGCAAGTTGAACCCGCACGTTGTGCATTGCTAGTTTGGGGCATTGATTTTACTTATGTACTTACATAATTTCATATTTTAATACTGTAAATCTTTTTTTGAATTTCAGAAACCAATTGGAGGTATATCTCTGTTTGGCGCTAAAAACTCTGAAACCATCGGCGCCGCCATCTTGCAACGGAACCAAACACTATCATCTACATCCGGCAACGAATCCGATGACAATAAACCTAAACCACAGACAATAATTAAAAAAGATAGTTCACAGATTAGTAAACCAACTAAGGATAAAAAAGAACCATTACAGACTAGTAAACTTGAAATCAGTAGAGATATATTCGATGACTTGTTTGCTAAATCGGAAATTTTACAGAAGAAAGACGGGAAAGAAAAACAGAAAGTAGCAAATATAAAAGAAAACGTTTTAGACAAGAAAGTAGATTTGTTCAATGACAATCTTTTCGATGACATAGATGATATATTTACCAATAATGTTGTCAAAAGTAAACAAAGTAAAGAAGGAAATGCCAACAAGACTTTATTTGATGAAAGCGACGACCTATTTGCTGATATAGCAGTCACTAAAACTAGTTTTACTAAAGAAATTAAAAATAATTTAGATAAGTCTAATACTAAGAGCATTTTTGGTAGCGACGATGATTTATTTACTGACAAACCCGTCGCGCAGGCTGAAAAAAGAGAAGTATATCTAGCTAAAACTAGTATTACTAAAGTTAATTTAAAAGATACGAGTTTATTCGATAGTGACGATGATGACAATAATATTTTTTCTAGTAAATCAAAAACTGATTCTAAGAAGAAACAAGAAAAAAACCAAAACACAAATGATCACAAAGATATGCTTAAAGAAGATTTAGACAATGATTTATTTACAAATTTAACAGAAACCCAAACACAAGGCAAAATAAGTAGTGAAATTAAATCTTCGATGAGTTCTCATCTTGCTAATGACAGTGAACTGTTTACATCCACTTCCAAAAATATAGATGACTATAATGATTCGTTTAGGAAAGATGACGAAAAGTCACAAGGTGCTCTTTCATCTCTAAAAGATAGTGAGAAGGCTCCAATTGGTAATAAAATATCAGAAGTTGAGGTATTACAAACCCAACAGGATGCAGAAAATCCTATGTTTTCTAAAACAAATTATGTACAGAAAAGTAACGATGATATATTTACAAAAGATATTGTCCAAGATGTTGAAGACACTGTAGATACAAAGGAATGCAAAAATTCGGCAATAAAACATTCAAAATCTAAGCAATTTAAAGTAGATGATACATTTAGTGACATTATGGATGAAGATGATGGCGATATCTTTTCAAACGATAAAGATAAACCACCAATTAAAGACACATCTATATTAAATATTGAAAATACATCTGAATTACAAGACAAGATATTAAATGATGAATCTGAGAATGATTTGTTTAAAACTAAAAATGTTGGTACTGATGTTGTTAAGGATGTAACTAAAGATAAAATGAAACCAACGGTTTCTCAAAAATCTATTTCAAAAGCTCCGAATACAGCTGAAACGGTACACTGTTCAAAAACCAAAAGCAAACAAAAAACTACTGTTAATACTAAATCAAACACAATAAAATCTGAAATAAATAAAAACAGAACCCATAATAATACAAATTTATTCGACAATATTGCGAATTTAGCTGAAAAAGGTAAACCTGATAATATGAAAGATGTTGATAGAAATAAAAACGTTACTGTATTTGACAATGTGCTACCAGAGGAAAACATATCTCATTCTGATACTCTTCCAGTTTTTGAAACGCGTAAAAATACTTTTGATGATATATTTAATGAAGCATCAAAACCTGAACGCGATTTATTCTCAGATATTTTTATTGATCAGCCTCCAATTTTCGAAAAACCTAAAGAACCTAAAAAGAGTCAAAATGTAAATGCTCTTTTCGATGACGACTCTGATGACGAAGCGTTGTTTTTTAAGAAGAACGACGTCATTTTACATGATCACCCTGAAGAATTCAGTCCTGATATTAGCGGTGATAGGTTTGATATTTTCCATGATGAACCGCCAGCAATTGATGTTGTCCAAGAGACTACTAAAAGTGTTTCTAAACAAGATAGCGGAATTATTTTCAAACACAAAGTAATAGAAGCGAATACCACTAACATCAATGAAAATTTATTTGAGTCACGGCAACATGTTATAGTAAAAGGAGACAATGAGAAGTCTAAGAACAATATCAATGACCTGGAAAATGTATTTAATGATGAATTAGATATTTTACCTGCAGAATTAAAGACACAAAAAACAGATGAAATGAAACCAAATATCGACAAGACAGATGGTATTCCAAATGAACCGAAGAGAATTGGCAAACTAAGACCAATGAATTTCAATATTAACGTAAACACACTGCTACCTGGTGCCTCACCTAAAAAAGTACAGCAAATTGAACAAACAGACGAACAAACTATACCCACAAAGAATAACAAAGACTTACAAACTAATGAAGTTTCAGAACAAGATGGGACTAAACTAGTTAAATCGGTGAGTTTTGAAAGCGAACCGGATAGTACAATTTTAGATAACAAACTGTCAAAAGAAAGAGTTAAAATTCAAGTGAAACGACGCCCCTCCACAAGAAGGGCTCGAAGGGAAGCTGTAAAAAAATCTGGCATCGATTTCGGAGAGGATTCAACTGATAATTCTAATTCAATTGATGACCATGTTAAAGAATCTAAAATCGAAGCAGAGGAAGAAAATGATGTTATTGTTTCTGAAAAAACTAATGTCAGTGAACAGGATAACTTACATAAACCTGATGGGGATGTTAAAAGTATGAAAGCGTCAAGAAATACTGCTACTTCCAAAGATTTTGCTATTTCAGAAGGTACTGATACGTCCAAGGATTTAAAAACTGAACAAAACCTGTTTTCAAAAGGTAATACTTTGGAAAATGTTACATCAAGTCCAATAAGAGATGTAAAATCAAAAGTAGTTTATATCTTAAATGACGAAGATATTTTTAACAGCAATCCTCAAGTAGTATCAAAGATGGATGCAGAGGTGACTAAAGTCGATTCTGTTAAAGTCACAGAACCGACCAATGTTACACTCGCAAATCTTGACAATGAAGCAGATTTAAATGTTGTTACAAAAGCGCAATCTGAGGCTACGAAAACAAAACAAATCTTAAACATAGTCAATGATGAAGATGACGATGATATTTTCAAATCAATGGTTACTAAATCAGAATCAAAAACAAATACACAACCCGTAACCATTAAACATTCAATAAAAAAATTAGAAACTGCTTTAAATTCAGACAGTGATGACGAAATATTCAAAGATTTTACAAACGTAAAGAAAATGGAATCCACTTTAAAAAATGAGAGTACTTCAACAAAACTACCAAAACCGGAACAAAAAGGAATTTTTGACGATTTAACTGACGAAGATAATGAACTTTTCAATAAAAATAATAAAGGGTTTAAAGCTAGCAACAATAAAATATTCGGTTCTGATAGTGACGAAGAGTTGTTCGGCAAAAAGAAGGACAAAAAAAGAGAAGTTAAAGAAAATAATATTGAAGTGAAAGGAACTTTATTTGGTGATGATAACGACGAATTATTTAGTTCGAAAGAGAAGAAGAATGCTGGTAAGTCCAACTGCAAATCTTATTCTATGCAATGAATTAAATGAAATTAACTAAATTAATAAATAAATCATACAAAAACACTGAAAACACTAGCTTCTACGGTACTTGGATGACTAAAACCCATGGTAGTGATCTGTTTGGCTCCTGCAGATTGTCTCGATCTGTGATAATTGAAATAAGTATTGTAAATGATAAGCGTACTTATTTCCATTCACAAAGAGCAGCCTCTAGAGTTTCTTATTTATTCTTGTCAGGGGATACTGCCTTAGGGTACTAAGAGATTGACTGCATGTTTGCAGTTACTGCGTGAAGTCGTAATCAAGTTCACGCAGCCGAGACCTCTAGACCTTTGCAATTGAAAGCTCTGAGTGGCACTGTAATTGTTATGGACTGGCGTGTAGCTTACCATTAGACGACTTCACGACTTGTTTGTCCCGTCAGAATATATTATAAAAAAAGTCGATCTCGGCTGCAAGTTGCCGTTAATGCATGAAGTCGTTATCAACTTCATGCAGTCGACATGAAGACCCTACTTTACTACGATGGAAACAAAAAGGAGTAGATAGTCGGTCTCATTCATAACACGACTCAAGAAAGAGCTCCTGCTCCCGACTTTACTGTCGGTTTAGTTTCGAGTTCTTAGGTTTTCGCGATTATTACACATAGGAAATGAAACTATTTTTCCGGATTTAAATCGCGTATATTTGTTTTTCAAACAAACCGACGTTTCTGGCCCTGTACAGGTCCCATGGTCACGGTTGACTGAGGTGGTACAGTCTTCAACCAGTTATATTGATAAATAAATCCGGAAAAATAGTTTCATTTCCTATATTAATTTAGTTACTTGTTTGTACACTGTTACTCAGTCTTTCGGCACGTTGCTGTACTCTTATAAAGTACACAATTTTGTTAACACAATTGTATTATTATTAACATTGATTTCATTTCAATAAAATGAGAACTCAACCTCCCGAGAACGTGTCTCTTTTACCGCCCTCGATCCTTTATAACTTCGAGGTCCCGGGTAACGACTTCACGCAGCCGAGATCGGTCGAGGTCTCGTCTGCATGAAGTTGATTACGGCTTCACGCATTAACTGCAAACATGCAATCCATCTTTTAGCAACCTAACGAATGACTAGTAGAGTTTAATCAATGCGACGATTTCAACTGTAATTTACTTACCTTTTAAATGAAGATATACTTATATTGGACCATAAAATTAGTCTGCATGTTCGTTGATCTAATAGCCCAGGGCGTTTATGTATGTATTTGGTTCCAGTATCAAAACCATCTTCAACCACGAGATCCAAGTCACCGACGTCAACAAAACCGGTTTTCGAAGATCCATTGTCAATGTTTGAGAGTAACGATTGTTAAATTGTTGTCGGTCTCGATGGCACACATTAGTTTGCCATCTTGGTGAAAGGGTTTGCCAATCGGCGTAAGATACTCGCCGATTATTGGTACCTTATTGCGGGGAGGCACCTTTCGTGTACATTATAGTTAAATTTATACTAGTTTAAACGTCAGGTTGTGGCATATTGAAGGCCTAATTTTCTCTGATAATAAGAACAAACAGGGTCAAACTTGTTAGTATGATTTACCCTGGTCTACTTGAGACGAGAGCTTCTTGTGAAAGAGTTGTACTGCCACCTTACATATGTCAGCCGCCAAGCAGTAATGTGACATTACTGCGTTCCGGTTTAGAAGGGTAAGGGTGCTAGTGAAATTACAGACACATGGGACTTGTCAACTTATGTCTCAGGGTGACGGTCGCTGTGCCCATAAGATCTTTGCGATTTAAAGCTCTGAGTGGCACTGCAACTGTTATGGATTGGCGTGTCACTTACCACCAGGCGCACTACTTGTTTGTTCCGTCACTTTGTATCATAAAATAAGTTAATTATCCTTGTTGTCGTAAATAACGCATTTGTATGATTGGAGCGCACCGCAAGATTTCGAATGTGTGCGTCCGTACAGGCCACGCTGCTACTGTTGCTGACTGTGTGTAATACACTACTTGTATTATTATACTATGGTTTTTTAATCTGTCTTTTTTGAGAACGGAGTAAAATGACAGTTGATTGCGCAAAGTGTTGCCCGCTTTCGAGCAGCTAGTCATTGCAGTCGATATATATTCTATCGACTATCGATATATTATTAGTCACGCTTATGCAATAAATAGCCGATCTTGTTTCATTTGAATCATCATGAGCCCAATATTCGTCCAACTGCTGGGAACGGGATCATTTCAGTTATCATCTTTCTAAGTTCACATACTTACACAACACTTAAAACCATCTCTATTAACAACACAAAAAGGAGACATAATATTATCGTCGGCTGCCACATAGTTTATATGGCAATTATTGACTTCTTGCAATAAGCTGACGATATTATTATTTTGTTTTATAATAAATATAATATGTGGCTTGAAAGTGGATGTAGTGACTAGAATAGAGAAAGGAATGCATGAGGTGGTTTGGGCATGCAGAGCGGATGGATGTAAGAAGAATTACCAAACAGATTTATTATGCGAATGTGGATGGAAGGGTTTTAAAAGGATGTCCCAGAAGGACTTACATTGACCAGATCAGTTTTATCCTCAAAAAGGCTGGGATCCGAAGTGACAAGAATAGTTTATGTATGTGAGGCTCGAGAGCTGTGTCAGGATAGAGTAAAGGGGCATTCTGTGGTCCTACGCCTCCTATGGGACTAGGGCGTGAGCTTATGTATATGTATGTATACAGGTAAAGTACAATAGAAGCTTAAATACATAAATATTTTTAATTATTTATACTAGTAGGCCAACTGTCAAATTAGGAATGAATAATAACATATTAAGTCGATTTTATTGCTCGACATGTTTCATACCAGTCTGTGGTTCTTAATTATGAGATTCCGCGGAGATGACTCGATGGAAACTGCGCGCCAAAATCCTGACAGCCCGATCACAGCCAGTACGAGTGCGGGCGCAAGTGGCAGCTACTACCCTATTTGCTTCATTCTTATTTAAAAAAAAATCTATCTGGTAGTTCAGTTGATACGTCTGAGTCTCACGGTGGTTATCTATTTAAAAATGAATAATAAATAAAAAATGGTGATCATTAGAACGTCGTAACGTTCACAATTCAGAAATATTTGGCAAAATTTTACCTTCTTTCGCAATCTATCGATAAAACTGTCGACAACAAGTACATGACTATTTAAAACTTTACGTAAACTGGCAACCTGGCAAATGTCATTTTTCTCAGTCACAAAAAAAGACAGACTATACTCTGGGTGATGCCCCGGAATGAACCCGTTGTTCTGGTACTCATAGTACAGGAGAATTCTTCTAGTTTCAGACCAGGTAGTTGCTATTATTGTATGGCACATTGTTATTTAGTACTTTAGAATTTTAGCAATCAAACTGAAAGTACATTTAACCAGTTTAGGTTGAACTCTCGTTACTTACAAATTTGTTTACGACAGGTTCGACTAAAATCCGTATTTCACCTTCAGGTGAATAGGAAATAATCATTCCATGTTATAAGGTAGTTAATATTTATTTGTATTTAAAATTAATTTTATATTATGTTATTGTGAGAACTATATTTTATCCATAATGCTCCACTGCTGGGCATGTGTGTATAGTCAAGGTAAAGAACACTTGTTATTATTAATAAATAATTACAACCGAACCTGTGTTGTTAGTTTTTCGAACAATATCATTATTTGATCCGGTCTGGAAAAACTCGGTGCCTCATGGTTCTTGAGACGCTTGACACAGATGTCATCGTACGTACACACGTAACGTACACACACGTGTCGCTTTAAAAACCCAGCTTGCTTAAAAATATTTTAATTATTCCTTTAAATCTTTATCTTTTCTATTTCTGCGACTGATTATTAATGCAAACGAACAAGACTGTGCCATCTGCCCCGGAGAAGACTCGCACCCGCACCGCAGCCGCGCCGCAGTAGAGGGAGGAACGCGTGAGTACTTCTATATCACTTTAGCCAGAATAGCACAGGCAAAGGTTTACCTGCGCCCTATACAGTCCACCTTTAGCCGCGTGTCTCGACTTCCTTACGCCACACCGAGGTTGTTTTATTTTTTCCATTTTAAACCCAATTTTGGAAATTAACCCGTTTTTGAGACGCGCGCAAACTGTTGGTAGTTAATTCTCTTTTACGCATACGAAGGTCGACAGTGATAACTCAGACGCCGTGCCTAGCATTAAATTTCATAATTGTCATACAGTAGGCATGGCCTAAAACATCTGTCGCTCAAGTTCATCGACGCTTTTCAGCGTTTTAAATTGAAAAAAATATCTACTTTTCTCTTGCTTCACAATTTCGTACCTAATCCACCTGGGAAAAAAGAAAAATGGTGGCAGATCGACCTTTCTTTGTGATCACGGCAGTGTACATAACAAAGTTTTTGAAGAAATAACGGCAGTATAATAATTTTTCAAAATTATTAAGAATTGCATTTCACGCTCAATCGATTCTACTTAATCCCAACTTTAATGTTACGTAACTTACTGCCATAACTAAAATTTTTTAATTTGAATGTGCCATGGGAGAGGATATTAGTATGTATAAAAAAGTATAGTATATAAAATAAGTCACATGTATTGTGATCGTACGCCATTATTTTGTAGTTTTGTTGACAGAACTATTGGTACTTTTTCCCATTTGCTCTATTAATAAATAGACAGTTTTCTTCACAGAACTGAGGATTTTCTCTCCCATTACTTCTGTTAAAGTGCTTCTATCACATGATTAAATTCTGAATGTACATGTGGTATTTTACTCAATTCGACTGTATTTTTTTGTGTGTATGAGCTGTGTGGCCTATGCATAAAGGTGGTGAAACCGGTTTGTTGGATTTCATAAAAATCACGGGTAAAGTCCCCAAATTTGGGGAGAGTAAAGTTCAAATTCCCTACAAATTCCCCACATCTCGAGTTTTCATTATTTATTACAAATATATCGCTTAAAAATATAAAGGATTAAGAAACTGGAAATGTAAACAGAATGTAAAATGTAAGGCAAATTATAAAATTAGATGACCTTAAATCGTTTATTTATTTTAATGAGATTCAACATTAATCAGTCTTTGATAAAAACAATTTTTCTTTGCGTTACAAAATTAAGTAACTTAATTATTTGGTGACACTCACGGACTTGTATATTAAACTGGACAGTTAATAAAACGAGCCGAGTGAGAGGCTTCAAAGTAGTAATGGGTCTCTTTCTAATAGGGTATTCATTCGTGTTTCAGCCAGCCATATTGTTTGTAACTTTTTAATTTTTTCAGTAAATGTGTCCGCTTATGGATGACTAAAACTACTAATATTATTTCATAATACAAATTAGTATACTTATTTGATATACTACTTCATAAAAGAAGGTTTCATTGTTGATATTTTTTTTTTGTATTATTACTGTAAAAACATATTACATTTGAGCTAATTTTATTTAACCTAAATTTAAAAAGTTAATACGACTGGACACTACCTAAGATGATTTTATTTAGTCTTGGCAACTTGTTAGACAAGGACAGACCACCACTAGCTCGGTTTTTTACTTTTACTTAATAAACTTTAACAACCTAATAAGGTGTAATATTGGTATATCGAAGTCCAGTTTATGAAATATGCATATGCATATATGTATCAAATGAATATTTAGGTACTTACTTGGTACTTGGTGTAACGGGCTGGTGTCCGCAACTCGACGACAAGGCGCCTATTTTGCGTGTGAATATTTAGGTATTTTATAAATATAAGAGAACACACCATACTGAATTAAAGAAATATATACGTAATTTATTTTAGTTTAAACGCGACACACACGTCCGGTACTTACTCGGTTTTAGGGTCCACTGAAAATCAACGTCACAGCCTTTTCCCGGCGGCGGTGACATTAGCTGAGTGGATCCTATTACATACGCCACAGCCGCACACATGACATCTACTTAGTACAACAATAGTGTTGACTAACTTTGTAGTCGCATAATTATTTATTGCTAAGATTTTATTTTTAATTAATTTTATTTAGTTTTCTTTTTTGTTATTCTATTTTCTGTTTGTTTTAATTTAGTTTGTTTTAGTTTTAATTTGGTTCTATTTATTTTTATTTTATTTTTTTACTTTTTATTTTTTACTGTTTATTATTGTGTTGTGGTGTTATGTAATAAATGGATTCTATTCTAAATATATAAATCCGTGGTGACATATGACAGTATGTTGGTGATACAAATGTTAGAAATAACTGAGACTATCTTGGTGACACAAATGTTAGAAATAATCAACGAGGTTTCGACCTAAGTATATTGAAAGTTGACGAGTGGTAAGTTGTGGTGTGGAAGTACCAACCTACTCGGCTTTGTTTATCAATAGCTGATTTCGTTTTTCTTCATATCGGCGACCGGCAGCGAGTAAGCGGTAGAAAGGTTGATCCTTTCTACCGGCACCGACACCGCACCGACCGGCACCGACTGGTAATTTTACAATTCAGAACCAAGTGCTTTGATAATAATTATATTTAAGCTGCTTGTTAAAATGCGAGAGAATTGCGATCGATAGATTACCTTCCTGCCTACTAAGAGACCTTTTTTTAGAATATTTTTATGAAACTTTCAGGGATTGTTAATATTTTAGAAAGTATGAGAGAAATATTGAAAAAAATATTTGAGCGGGAAAACCGGATTTTCACTATGTCCTATATGTAGGACAACGGCACTATATTAAGATGTCCTTTTAAATTTTTGAACGGTTGTAAGTGGACTAATTAGCAATTAAATTAAAGGTATATTTGAATTAAATTTTATTTATTGAAAATAAAAAAAACACATAATGTACCTATTAAATATACACTTAAAAAACGAATAAAAAGAAATATTTCTTCTGAAAAAACAAGATATTACTTTTATCATTTAGACGTTATTACGATTATAATCTAATTTGCAAAATTTTTTAATTGTAAAATAGGAATTTTATGAGGATTAACAGAAACATATTTATTCTAACTTTCAGTCTCGTGAAATTCGATGAAACAGTTTCTATTTGGCACAAAACACAGAGAAATCTCGGGTTTTTACAGTTTTTCTTATTACAACCAATTTTGTGCAGCGTGACTGTTTTAAACTGTTGTTTTTAATTCCCTTATAGTCAATCCGACCTTTCAGTTTTCAAAATTTGTGTTCTATTTGTACAGTCAACAAAAAGAATATCGCCATCCATATACCTACTGCTGATAGTCTATACCATGCCCATTCCGTAGTATCTATCGGTAAATAGGCGGGTTGCCTAAAAACACACACACTAAATTCTGGCTCAAACTTGAGTTTTGACCAATTATCTTGCTTCTTCTGGCAACTGAGGACCTGTGATAGGAGTGAAGGTCGCCAGACGGGTGTTTGAAGTACCTCTAACTACACGTCTACGTGAACGCGAGACATGGATCTCAGAGGTCCTGTCAATCGCGACGGTAATGATGATGAACTGGCGAATACTTCCGAATTATCGGAAAACGCTGGAGAAGACAGCATCCGATATATCGCGCTGTTATTACAATAGTGTTGTAACTCAAAATATGTGAAATTCAAGATTATAGCACTGGTGAACATACAATTTGATATTTATATTTGAAAGATTTAGTTTGTATACTCTGTAAAGAACATGTGTAATGGCATACTTAACATCAACTACCTACATTTGTTCTTTGCAAAGAACATAAAGTTTTTCGCCAAGTATTTATTTTTCTGAGAAATATTTATCTACACAATAATTTATTAATTAAACAAGTCATTTAGGAGAAGATATTGCCAATTTATTGAATTTTGAAATGATGTAGACTGACTAACTTAGCTTCGCACAGACGCATTCTTGCACGTGCTCCCTCAGATGCCATTTAGAAAAAAATTACAGATGACACAAGACCTTTGTCTATTGTTTTGACAACTTAGAAAGCATATAAATGGTATTAAAAAAATAGTAAGCTTGCGACCTTTAGTTACGTCAGGAGAATTTTTGGATTTCTATGTACTCCTCGGAGTACAAATGTAGGTAGGAGGTTAAACAAAACGATAAAATGTTAAAATCCCCACATTTTCCCCACATAGCGCCAATTCCCACAAAATATGGTTGAAATTCGTTGAAATTTCCCACAAATTGACAACGCTATATAAATCGGTGTTGCCAATTAATATTTCTTAATGCCATAGACTGTGTCGTAATTATAGGCTTTTTGTAATCTGCCATCTGTTGTCATCTTTTGGTATTATTGTTGGTCATAGCCGATACTGCCAAAATAGACATTTGTTTAAATAAGCGCGGAATCTTTTGTAGGTATCGGGTCTTTTCCCTTTGTACTTTGACTGAAGAATTAAAGCATGACAAGCGAATTACGTTTTATTTAATAGAATATAATAAGAGTGAGGTGCACGAAAGGAGCCTCTCTGCACAACTTTCCTGCACGTCTGTTGCCTGCGCACCGTGGACAACAATTGGCGCGTACCTCACACCAATTGGCAAATCCCTCCACCACGATGGCAAACATAGTGTAATGTCATGGATACGATAAGAAGAAGACCATGACTATGAGAGTGGACATGCGAAATTTGCTGCTGGGGGCTGATCAACTTGGGCAGTTAATAGTTTCCAGAGAAGTATGGCGACCTGTGAACCGAAAAAAATTGCATTGTGTCAGTAGATATATTTATAAATTGCATGCTTTACTTGTCCAGTCAAGAGAGCATCTTATTTACTGCTGCTGTCCTACGGCTCAATGGGTATTAGGCCCAATGGATTCTGTCAGGGCCCTGATTTTAATTGAAATCGGAATTGATCCGATCGGGTAGCCCACCCGCAATATTATACGCCTTGTCTCGAAAAAGACGCAGTTTCCGGTCGGGAGAGGCAATCAAAATCAAGCTGCTGAATTCTTAATGTAAGATTTACAAAACGTGGGAAGTCCTCAAGGTTAAATTAGACAATGCCATCGCCATGATCACCATTTATCTGCCTCTATGCTTGGCGCAGTACGTTTTCTTCTTCCATTCATCCCTCAGCGCCCAGTATTTTTAAGTGATGAAAGTGTTAATAAATCTTAAAGGTATGCCGTTATAGTCGAAATTTCAATGATAACGGCCGTATATAGTTCTGAAAACAAAGCTGCGGCATGCTCAGGTATACCGACTCCAGAGTACCTCGGCAGGCTTCTGGACGCCGAGTGCGACTATGCGGGGCGAAGGGAGGCATTCACGAAAAGAGACCAGGCGCGAGCACAATGTTGCGATGTCGCTTCGGCACAACTAAGAATAAAAAATAAAGTTCAATTAAATAACTTACTGTTCATCCACAAGCCATCTTGTACCGTCATTGGTAAAGTTAGCGTAATCAGCAGCTCTTGACGCGAGCGCGTCTGGCCACAACACCGGTAGTGTCGGCCGCGCGGTCCAGTCCTCGTACATCTATTAACATGACACAAATACCACAGTTTTACAAACCATACAATTGAGCAACGACTGTACTCGCGCAGGGCGACGGCGGGGTACTCGAGGGGAGGCGGGCGGCGCGGGCCGCATCCAGCAAATTTGTTGCAGCTAGTTCTACTAAAATCATTGTATGCATGTATAATGAATAATTATTGTGTATTGGTAAGAAATAATTACCGTTAATAGATGATTATGTGATAATAATCTACTCACAATTTTTTACAAATATTTCTCCGGCCCGGGAATCAAACCCGGGACCACTGCGTGGCAGTCCAGTATGGTGAACGTTCGGCCACGGAGGCAGTTAATTTTGTGACAACGTATGTCGTCACAAAATTAACCTCACCATGCTTCATCCCATCTCCAGCACACCAGCGAGATTAATAAGTACCAGGACCTCAGCTCCGACTACCTATATTTGGAGTCCTGATGCTCTACATCTTCAGAAAATTTCAAAGAAATGGACTGCCTGGGAAACCCGAGAGCCAGCCCTGAGGCATAGGAGGATGCTGAGATTCCTAGAGGAGCGTGGATAGTACGAGAAAGATCAGCCCGTTACACCATATCATAACAACCCCGGGCCCAAGGCGAGGGCTACTTGCTATACTCTGCGCAAGTGTAAAACACTCCGATCGTTCAGACAAAATTAAGAGCCGGTTCACACTTTTTGTAGCAATAGAGGTCATTGTGAAAGAGGTCGTCCAAGTAAGTACTGCCACCTTACCTATTTCCGCCGCCAAGCAGTATTGTGACCATTACTGCGTTCCGGTTTCGAAGGGTAAGAGTGCTGGTGAAATTACAAGCACATGGGATTTGTCAATTTATGTTATGTCTCAGGGTGTCTGGCGCAGTGGCATTGCCTCTAAGATCTTTGCTATTTAAAGCTCTGAGTGGCACTGTACGATTTGTTCGTCCCGTCACTTCGAAAAACCTTGTGCTGATATTATTACTTATTTATTGAGCATTGGATATAGAGCTTAAACAAGCAACAAACAATTAAGAAACTCAAAACGTAATGTTAATCAAACTAAAAATTAATTTGTGAAAAAACTGTAACTACACAAACCCGCCAACTTGTGCTGGTTTGCCGAATCGATTTTTTGGACGGTTTCCAGTAGTAGTAAAAAAAGCGATTCGTTTATTTTCGCTGCCGTGTCTTGTCACTGGAAAACTTAGCGGCGTACAAGGCGTACACAGTAAAATAGCTGAATCAGTCGCGGCAATTACTCGGGTCGGGTTTTCGTACCACGCCGCGGAGAGAGGGGTTACGATCGCGATTTTAACATGAGAATCCAAAAGTGCCCTGGATTTAAAATCTTCTATGTTTTATTTTTTCCACGTCTATTATATCGCACTACTATTACAATAATGTTGTAACTCAAAATTTGTGAAATTCAAGATGATATCATTGCTGAAAGTGAAATTTGATTCCCAACACTCAACAAAACTGTCGTTAGAAAACTTATGAAACAATTGAAAGATATCTACTTATATCTATAAAACTGCCTCCGTGGCCGAACAGGTACCATACCGGACTGCCACTTCCCTTTTCTTTAACTTAAATAAACACTTCCGGACACATAATTCGAGCCACCACGCCTTTTACTATAAGTGCCCTAAGCTTAAACAAAGTTTGATCGATCAAAAACTATTACACAAATTTGAAATTAGTATACTAAACTTCTTTTCCGTAAGTCCTTGTTGGGAATTTGTATTTGCAAAACCGGGAAAAATTTTTCTTCGATGATAACACTATTTTTGTATTCTAGCAGTAGGAACTTGATTAAATGTTTGTGATAAACTTAAAACGATACATAAATTTTAATGATCTTTCACGGGAAGTGAGTAATTCGTTTTCGTCGATTCAGAAAAATACACTTTTTGAATTAATATGCTATTGTACAAACTGTGAGATGTAAATAACCGCCGCTTGCATTATGAGCGTTGTAGCTGAACGCGGGCCACTACCCCGAAACAGTTCTACCGAATCGGAAAACTGACTCACAAAACGTATAAATGTGAACGCACATACGTTTTTTTAACCTACAATAAGAAACCTGAATCGAATGAACCGTACAAGTGTGTACTAAGGGTCCAACAGGTTCGGACACGATATGCAAAAACATTTGTGATGGGATCATGACGAAGCATCTGTCGAGGGTTATACGTACTGTTCTCCCACTGATGCCAACTTCACCAGTAGGCTCGCTTGGCATCATACTAAAATCACACGCTTTTTGGTGCAGGATCCACCAGGCTGTAAGGCAATAACACATCGTCGGTGTTTTGGAGAAAGGACGAAAGCGCCATATTGAAAAAAATTAAGGAATTTTCGTATTACGTTTTATTTATTTACGTCCTATTTTATAATTACATTTTGGTTTTAATTAAGTTTCTAAAATTGAATTTAAAACGGAATATTTTAAAACATGGGTGAAAAACTAAACTAAACATGCTCCCTTGAAAAATTTTTCGAAGAAACAATTTTTCGTTCTTTCTGCAGAACACATATTAACTACATTTATACTTAATAAATAAGAAATATACACATAAATACGGGAAGGCAGTTTCTTCTATCATGTCATCTCAAATTGGACTAGACGAACCGACACGAAGCGTCACGCTTCCACGTTTATATACTGCCTGCAGAGTTGTTCTCTGAACGTTATAAATAACTAGCACATATACCATCGTCGACCTCATCACTTTCCGGGTCATCAGGTGAGATGTAGATCAAATGCGCACTTATATTTGTGTTATAATATGTTGTATATGTCAAAAGTTCGTCGAATTACATCTATTTGGCAAGTTTTATCGAAATGTTACTGGAAAGTGCGTGAACCGGGATTCATCCCCTAGTTAGCCACCCTTAGAGGTGGAATATTTTCTTCAGATTTAAATAGGACTAATACTGAGGTACCCTCATTCCAACAAAAAAAGAATCATCAAAATCGGTTCACAAATGGAGTTATCACGTAACATACATACCAAAAAAAGATAATTTCAACTTTTCAGGTGAGAGGTATGAAGATTCTACCAACGAAAAGCTTTTTTATGCTTATATTGGAGAGTAATACAATTTCATTATATTTATGACCCTCCAATCCTTGTAAAGTACTTAAAAATAAATTCACTTACCCGGTTCTGAAAAAAGTTTTTGTATAAATGAATAATTTTATTTGAAATAGTAATCTATACACGACACGTGTCATGGGAGTATGTGGTTGCGATAGAAGGTACGCAACACGGAAAAAAAAAATAGAAACTGCCCTATGCCTCGCTTGCTATGAGAACCGATGTTGCCAAAACTCACACATTTTAATTTGAAACCTACAAAAGCGGATATTGATTGGTCGTAGTTTCAAGTTTAAAAAGGAATAACAAATTCTGGCTTGTTAATATAATTTAAACTTTACCCTGTTGGCATATCGTTCAAAGTTCAATACCATCAATACCTATTATTACAATTTACGACGTTTTGATATTGTATTGAAATTTCAATGTGCTGCCATCTAGCGATTCATTGCTGAACGACGACGATTTCGAGTTATTAATTTAGTTCTCCAAACAAGAAGCGACTGTAATGCAGGAGTATAAGTTTTACTTTTGTTTCTTGTAACAAGAACATTATTTTTATGAACAGAAAATTGAAAATTTACTAAAATAAGCCTTTCCGATGATATGAAATACCATAACAGGTAACATTTTTGCGCTCTAAAACAGCACAATAAGGCATTTTTTTAGGATTTTAAAGAATTTGCACCAAAGAATGACACAACCATACCATACAAAGCGAAAATGTCGGAAGCTTAGATGGGTCTTTCGAGACCTATAGTTATATAGTTAACTAACCACTTCTACTGTATTTATTGTTCTGTGCTACGCAGGTTGAGCTTTATTAGGCTGTTAACACATTGAGTGCACGTTTGCAATTAATGCGTGAAATCGTAATCAACTTCATGCATTAACTGCACGCAGTTGGAACCGACTTCATACAACCGAGATCGACTGTAAGCATGCCCCAGCATAAGTGTTATAAATGTTATAAATACAACGTGATACCAACTGTGGTAAGGATACATGCAGTTCGCCAACAGCAACTCGCAGTACGACGAGAAAGACTTGTATCTGTACTGCCACACGGTGTAACGGGTATTCAGTCTTGCAGCACACACTGGGCCGTAACTGTTGGACCAGAATACATTGTGGATATTGAAGAAAAAGAGACGTGTCGGTGTTGATGTGAGGAAACATTGATCCTCTGCTGAGAGCTTTGAATGAGATAACTGCGGGAATTTTCATTATTTACATTACATTATTATTTTATTTATCTAGACACATTTCATAAACTCTTTATAATGTTTTCAAAAACCGCAAATTACGACCGGCATAAAGGTAAACTGTTTTGTTGAAACAAATTTCTTATCTGTGAAAATGTTATCGTTTCATCACGTGTGTGTGGATTGAGTGAGTACCCTCTGTAAAATGTTTAAAATGTGTTAGTCATTCAGTAAAAGTTCTAAAACAATTGTAGAAACCAATCTTTCTATTTCTAAAAAGATCAAACAAGAGAAAAATAACTTAATGTGTGCTCGCTCAGTTCTCACAGAGGGCCAGTCAGATCTATAAAAGTATTAAGTTTACGTATAATATTATTGTACTAGTTTTTAATTACAGATCGCTTCTTATGCTCACTCAATCCGCACGTTTTTAAAAGGAACGATTTCTTAAGAACCAAATAAGTGAATTAAATTTCGTTTATGTCTAGATTTAGTAAAAGTTACATATGAATTCGTAAAATATGAAACAAGCCAATATTGTGAAACGTTTTTGAATAATAATTATTTTTAAATGCTCACTCTATCCTCAAATTTCTGAAAAGTAATAAACGTCAATATCTTCGGATTTGTAAGTATTACAGAGAATATAATTGGTTAAGTTTTAGTAGTAATTTACTACTAAATATCTGCCGTTTCAGATTCCGTTTTGATTATTTAATTAGAAAGAAAAGTTTTTAAGTTTGGTTCCTGAACACAACACAGAGAGCTTATAATATGTGTGTAGATAAAGCAGTGTATGTAACAATACATAATTAGGCATTAAAACGCTCGTGAGATCCCACACTCGTATTTTAATGTTATGTAAGTCACATGAACTACTATCCTATACTATTGCATAATTCACAATAGCAACCTTATAACACATCTATTTTTTTAATGTGTTACTTTTTCTATTTAATTTTCAATGATTTAAACCAGCTCATTTAGTAAAAGCTTACGGTGCCGGTCGTCGGTCTGACGTCACGACAAGTGACGAGAAAAAACGATACTAAACTTATTTGAATTTTGTGTTACTACAGTTATTATGTACAATATGTAATATAATTATCTGATAAATTATCAATTATATTAGGAAATACTGTATATCGTCGTCTTAGGGTGAAAATCTCGCATACGCGTTTTCACATAGTTCTTTTTTACCGATTTTTGTTGAAGAAAAACTTCTTGCTCAAGTACGTTATTAAAGCAATATAGTATCTGAAAGAGGTATAATTTTACTAATTAAAATGCCAACTACAAACATTATTGCGTTACTACATTTTACACCACATTTTTATCTTCGTCCTGAAAAATTACATAGAAATCACAAACGAGTTATTCACCACAAGACGACATTATGAAAAAGTAGTTACGAGATATTTTTATATTTTAAAAAATATTTAACAATAACTTGGAATGATGAGTAAAAAATCTCTAAACAGCACGCACCCAAGGCCATTATACTAATAAAAAAAACCTGTTTTTATCTTAGAGGACGGAAAAAATAAAGGATATACACATTGACTTACAATTATATGGACGTCGGGTCCGCGCTAAAAAGTATCCGAACTTATAGGGCGTTAAAATCGTATACAGAGCGTCATTCACGCTTTAGTCTTCGTTTGTTCGACTGACAGCGAAGCAAGGAAAATTAGACAGTACTGCGATGACATTACAATTTAAATTCAACGTTTTAGCTTTTTCATATTCCTTTACATGTCACTACGTTTAAATAGGTTGACTTGGGACATTTTTTTCGTGGTTTTTTTTCGTGGGCCTTTCAAAGCTCAATATTCTCTTTATTTTTTATTTTTTTGGGCCTCGTAACGGGCCACGGGCTGTGGGAAACCGCGGCAGGCGAGGGTGATAACCGCTCCATGAGTCTGAATGAAAGAAGTAAGCCTTACTCGTAATAAAACTTGGGGCAATCGACCCGGCAGTTCCAATTAGTTGCCGTGTTGGTTCCGATGTACGGAGTTGACTCATTTTTCGGATCGTACTCTGGTGGTAGCGGAAATGTCTCATTCCTGAAAACGTATATTATAAAGTATAGCCATACTCATCGAGTATATACCCAGAAATAGAGATGAAAAATTATTTAATTTGTTTGAAAACTGTTCTGCCAAATCATTACGGTGACAACTGCGCTTCGATTGGCCAGCCCGAATCCGAAACAATTGACGGGTGTCGCCAATTGTTTCACTTCAAATCGACCAGTTTAACATGAGCTTTGCTATAACGAAAATTGAAAAATTACATATTTAATATAGAAAATGAAACTATTTTTCCGGATTTAAATCGTGTACATTTGTTTTTTCAAACAAACCGTGCCCATGGGACCTGTAAAGGGCCCGAAACGTCGGTTTGTTTGAAAAAACAAATGTACACGATTTAAATCCGGAAAAATAGTTTCATTTCCTATGTGTAACAATCGCGAAAACCTAAGAACTCGATACATATTTAATATTTAATTACCGGTGAAATGTGATTCCGTTTGTTTTGTAATTAGATATTTGCCGTTTTTTCCATACTACCGAATGGAACAGCCCCTCATAGTTAGTAATATTATCTTTATTACAATAAATACAAAACATTTTTGGAATATACGGAGACGTACACACAGGTCAGTTGTTGGCGCTGTCTATATTTCAGTGCAAACGAGAGTTGATATTTATATGTGATGTATCACTGATGAGTTACCAGGAATGTATGGCCCTTATTTCGTCTCTATTTCTGGTTATATACTCGATGTTTCTTAAACATCATGGAGGGAATGTATAAAGAAAACTTGTTCGGTGACTCAGAGGACTGTCGCCGTATATTTGTGAGTGCTCGCCATAGCAATGCTGCCCTCCTCGTCATAAGTCATAACTAACAAAATTTTGCTCAACAATAAGATAATAAAAAAACCGATTAGAGCGGGTTGTAGATCTCGATTCGCTGATTGCAGATGTGTTCATAAATCAGTTTCGCTAAAAATGTCGATTACGTTTGTAATGTTGTACGTGCATGATGAAATTCGATATCAATAATGTTAACAAAGATGTTGCCATTACAAATAAATATTAAGGAGGCCGGGCTAATTTCAAAAGCCTGAAAAAGACATATTTATGCCTTTATTTTCATTTTATTTATGTGTTTCACTTGCGATTTTCGCTCGCTTGCGTCGGCTGGGTCACGGCGTAGAAATCTGCCTTCCGCGCAAAGGCGTTCACGAGTGTTCCGCTTTGCATTGCGGAGAACCTTGTGCGCATACGCGGAGCCTTGCCTTTTTGGGTTGTCGACACTCTCGAATCGGCTGCTGCTCTGTGATTGGCCAGTGGTGCTGTCCTCCGCAAACGTTTCTTGTTGCTTGCGTGGAAATATCAAGCTTGCTAGATATCACACTCACGCAACGCAAAGAAATCCACTGCAAAGCAAGCGGCCGGCGCAAGCGAGCGACTCGTGGACCTGCCTGCGCGTACGCGACAGATCTTTGCGCATGCGCGAAGCGAGTCACGCAAGTGAAAGACTCGTGAACCCGGCATTAAAAAAATATTAATAAATTGTTGGTTAAACTTACTCGAGTAATTTTTCTAAGGAACTCAATTTTGGCTGAAATATTTAATCACCATTAACTAAGTTTAAGGACTGTAAAAAACGATAATATTTATTTAGCTTTAAACCACAAAGATCTGAGGGGCACTGCCACTGCGCCTGTCACCCTGAGACATAAGTTGACAAGTCCCGCGTGCCTGTAATTTCACCAGCGCCCGTGCCCTTCAAAACCGGAACGCAGCAATGCTGACATTACTGCTTGGCGGCAGAAATAGGTAAGGTGGCAGTACTTCCCTGGACGAACTCTTTCACAAAGAGCTCTACTGCTACTAGGTTACTAGGCTACTAGGTTCACGACCCTCGGAAAACGTGTGAACTCACTAACCCGCATTGACCCAGCGGGCCAAGGGACCCGTGCTCAGCAGTAGGACGTATAACCATATCACCTCTTGGTGATGATGACGTTGACTTACCAAATAAAGTTTTGAAAGTTTTTCTAAACTGTAAACAAAAATAAAATATTTTTAACAACAAAAGGAGATTTCTTAATTTGACCGTATTCTTTGTGTAGTATGAATAACTGTGAATAGGTTTTGTTGATTTGTCTTTTTTGGAAAGAGCATACCTCAGTAGTGGTCTTATTCTTTTTTTTTATACAAATGTAAATGCGCATTTGACCTCCATCTAGTGACGATGAGCTGGACGATAGAACATGCACACCTAAATAATGCCTATTCACTCTCGCCTTGAAAAGGCCCAAGTTATAACGTTCAGGGAACAAGTTTGCAGGCAGGGAATTCCACTCCATAGCCGTTCACCATATAAATGTGGAAGCGTAAATACTTCGTCTGAATCTTTGCGATATCCACAACATAGGAGTGGAACCCAAGCCTACGTCTAGTCTAGTAGATCCCCGATAACGGAAAGGGGAAGGCGGAATTAAATCGTGGAATTCCATCGCACACTCTCCGTAATATATCCAGTAAAATACCGATAAGCAGGCTTTTTTACGGCGGTGTTCAAGGCTCTGCAGCTTCGCCTCTACTAATTCCGAGTCACCTATAAGTACGTATAAATAGAATAGAGGTAAAGGTGGTAGAGGTAGATATTTTCTTCAAATTTGTGTGTCAGACTAGAGGATGAATCCAGCTTATTGGATTTCACCCACTTTCCGTCAACCATTTAAATAAAAATTGGCAAATAGATGTAACGAATATGAAGCAATAATAACATTTTCACAGATAAGAAATTTGTTCTACAAAACAGTTTACCTTTGTGCTGGTCGTAATTTGCGGTTTTTGAAAACATTATAAAGAGTTTAACATATGTGTGTAGATTATAATCCCAGTACAGAGTACTAAAACAACCGATCTCAAAAGTACGTGGAAATACATTTGTCAAATTTTATTGAAATATCCCCTAGTTCGCCACTATACGGGACTTGACACAGAAGATAATAGAAATCGGTTCTCACTTCTCAAAGTATATTGAGAGAGAAAAACACCTTGAATTGGAGAATAGCAAAATTAACCATTAAAATAATTGCTCCTTGTAATAAAATTTAGGCGCTATTTGTAAAAATGAATCTTCAAGCGTGAACAGCCACTCTTAGAAGGGGATGATTTTCTTCAAAATTAAACGGGACCACTATGCAGGTACCCTCTTTCCAACAAACAACAAAAATAACTCACGCATCACTCCCCATGTCATAACGCAGGAGATTCCCTTTAACCAAGTCGATATTTTCGTATAAGCGGCGCACCGCAGTTGAAGGCAGCTTTAATGGGCTCTCTATATTGCCCAGTCTCATCAGAATCGATAATACATTCAATCTATCTTTTATTCTCGTCGTATTATCTGCAATAGTACAGAAAAAAACGACGCCTAAGGTTTTATAGAAGCACAGCGAGTGAAGAGTTCCCTTTGCATGTACCTACTCAAATTGCGAAGCCCCGAAGAAAATAACCCTTGACCTGTTTATTCGATTCAGTTTTCTAATTCGGATTACCGCATAGGTAAAAGAAATGTTTAAGCGATCACATTTATACGTTTTATGAGTCAGTTTTTTTTTAAAACATCAAGTGACGGGACCGAACAAGTCTTGCGCCTGATGGTAAGCTACTGTCCATAACAGTTGCAGTGCCACTCAGAGCTTTAAATCGCAAAGATCTGAGGGACACTGCCACTGCGCCCGTCACCCTGAGACATAAGGTGACAAGTCCCTTGTGCCTGTAATTTCACCAGCACCCTTATCTAAACCGGAATATAACAATGCTGACATTACTACTTGGCGGCAGAAAAAGGTAAGGTAAGTTTTCCGATACGGTGGAACTTTCGGGGCAGTTGCTCACGTTCAGCTGCAACGCTCATAATGCAAGGCTTCCTGGAAGATGAACGGCGACGTTGCAACGGCAGTTATTTATTTGGTATACTTAATACTCGTAGAAAAATTAAAAAACTTAGAAGATGTTATTCAATATCAGGTGAAACATTCTGACATTCAATAAAATATTCAATTACAAGTTAATAGCGACATTTCTAGCCAGGGCTGGTAGCTGTAAAGGTATCTAACTGGGTGACGAAATACTTTCACAGATTTCTCATAGATGGCGCCACGGCTAAAAAGTCGTTGAAATTAAATACCAAGATCCGACAAAACAACTCAGAGCAATTCGTGAAGTGCGATGGTTCGTGACTCGTGTTCGTAGTTGGCATATCGTCTGGCACGGTTTGCTAGAAGACGTCGGTTCGAATCCGGCCGGATCGTAGGAATTTTTTCTGAGTATTCGATCTTTGTATTAATAAGTATATACCATAATTGTTTTCACAAAAAAAGACAGTTGTAAATGGTTCTAAGAGAGTTTCCTTGTGTCTTCTATGGTGTAATTTCCCGAATTAAAAAAAAACAATCTGTATACTAAAGAAGATTTTAGTGGCAATAGAGCTCCTTGTGAAAGAGTTTACCTTCCCTAGAGACCTTCCCTAGTTCTGCCGCCAAGCGTAATGGCAGCATTACTGCGTTCCGGTTTTGAAGGGCAAGGGCGGTGGTGAAATTACAGGCACATGGGACTTGTCAACTTATGTCTCAGGGTGACGGGCATAACGGCAGTGCCCCTCACATATTTGCGATTTAAAGCTCTGAGTGGCACTGCAACTGTTATGGACAGGCGCACGATATTCGTCTTGTCACTTAGTATTATAAAAAAACGACCACTGTCTTTTGAGGTCGGTTTTTTATAAAAAATTATAAATGTAAGTGTTATTCAAGAAACAGCACTCACACAGTGTTTTGTTTTGCTGGCCTTTGTTCGTACCATTAAGTGTAATGTTAGTAAACATATAATTAAGGTAATTTCTTATTCCATCTATCAAATTATTTTTAGCGCGAAACTTCCTTGTGTTATTACTACGTTCTGAATTATTACTTATTATTGTAGAGTTCTTCGCTTTTCCAAATTCATTCTTATAAATGTCTCCTTCAAAGTCTGCAACATTCTTATAAAGTTTTTTTGGATTTTCTTCACGTGTTTTTGTGTATGTGAAGTTTCTGAGCGCAGTCACGTTTTTCGTATTCGTCATTTCATAGACACTTGCGTTTTGGGCTTGCACAGTAGTGTTATACTTAATTATTTTTCTTGCATTGTTTATAAAGAAATTGAAAGTTATTTCAGCGCCTGACACTTTTTTTGGCATGTCTTCTTTTTCGTATTTTGTAAATATTTGCGATTTCAAATTGGTGTTCAAATTATTTAAAGTGTTATGGTTTTTTGTATATCTATCCTTGATTTTTGCGTGTTTAGTGGATGTATTAAGGGCGTGATCATTTGTAATTGTGTGAATGGGAGATTGTGTAATAAAATCACTAGTCAAGGTATTTACTGGTGGCACAGCAAGGCTGTTAGTTATTTCTCTATTTCTTTTCGAGTTTAAATTAGAATTCAAATCGCTCAAAGTGCGTTTTGTATTCGTAAATTGATTGATTTCTTTTAGTGAGTACACAGGGGTAGTCATTATGATGGAATTATTTGCCATGTTTCCGTTTTGTTGAAGTCCCTGGAAGTCGTCGCCAGTCACGATTAACGGTATAAGTCTGTAACAACAAATTGAAACATGTACGTTATTAACCCACTTAAAAAAAAGGAGGAGGTTCTCAATTCGGCTGTAATTTTTTGTGTATATGTTACGCAATTACTCCGATATTTGTGAACCGATTTTAAAGATCCTTTTTTTGTTGGAAAGAGGATACCTCAGTATTGGTCCCATTTAAATTTGAAGAAAATAATCCACCTCTAAGGGTGGCCTATTCACGCATGAAGATTCATTTTTATAAATGGCGCCTAAATTTTATTATAAGGGGCAATTATTTTAATGGTTGATTTTGCTATTCTCCAATTCAAGGCATTTTTCTCTCAATATACTTTGAGTAGTGAGAACCGATTTTTATTATCTCCTGTGTCAAGTCCCGTATAGTGGCGAACTAGGGGATGACTCTGGGTTTGCGTATTTTCCGGTAACCGATTTCAATAAAACTTGGTAATAATATGTACAGGCTGTATATTTGAAAGTGGGACATACTTATAAAGTGCGTTATATTCCTGATTCTCAACCCAAATAACAAACTAATGAACTTAAACTTTTCAATAAATATTTTTTTAATTTTTTTTTTATAGACTGCTACTTGAGAACAACATTGTTATCGAAAAAATATCGAAATGCACATCACCATTATTGCTCCGACGCAGCGGCGGGTGGCGACACGGCAGCGAAAAACAAAGCACAGGTCGGGTGTAGGGGCGCGAGCGCATACGCGAAATTGCTCAGTGCACGCGCGACCTTGATCTAACGACGACACGTAAATTATTTGTACTTCCGCTCACCCGATCGCCGCAAAATGGATATCTATTCTAACGTCGATTGACTGAGATGGTGCGACTTTACGCAATAAGTGGTGATAGTGTGAGGCAAGCTATTGAAATGTTCCCAAATCGGAGTTTACGCGGAGGAGGTGAACAGTGTCGAAGTGTTGCGTGAGAGGATTATCTCAGCATTTTACACTATGAGACAAAATGTGTTTGTGTTGAACAATTTAAAACAAAATTTACTAAGCCATGGTAGACTATGCATTGTGGAAAACGGTGGACATTTGGAACACTTGCTCCGTACCACGTAAGTGTAAATAAACTGTAAATAACTAAAAAATCAATCATTGTAAATAATTTGATTTCACATTTCTAACTACGCCAAAAACCTCAATTCTTATTAAATGATAACTAGTTACCAAATCATAAGCTTATTATCTTTTTTAGTACGTAAAACATTTCGATGATAGTTCAAGTAAAAAATAATTAGCATAAGCTAAAACGTAAATGTGAAATCATTGTTATTGTTGCTGTCTCACTCGGCGTTCGCTTGGTAGTATTCCCATGGTACTCGAAATCAAGCGTAAAGGTAAAGGTAAAGCGTAAGGTTTATTCCTATGTACACTTCAAAACACATTTTGTTGATTTATTTTTTGTTCTATGCCATATCCTAATTTTATTTTAGTCTATGTTAAGTTGTAACATGATTTACTATGACATGTATGAATATGTCTCACTTTCAAATATACAGCCCGTATGTAATTCCACGTACTTTTGAGGTCGGTTTTTGGTACTCTGTACTGATGTAAATTTATTTTAATAAAAATTACTTTATTTGAGACTGGCTGTTCTGCTAGACAAAGTACTTGGAGTAGCCTATTGTAGGTACTATACAACTTGTCATAGTTTATTGGTTCTCAATACAAATTTTCATCCTCTATTCCAACCCCTTGAAGATTTATTTTTTATGTCCTTCTTCTAGGTCCCATCTATCTCTATATGAAAATTGATCAAAATTGGTTCAGCGGTTTAGGTGTGAAAACGTAACAGACAAATTTACTTTCGTTTGGTTTGACGACCTCAGTGGTTAGGTTTGCACTATTAGCGCTGGATGCTGTGTCCTGGGTTCGATTCCCGATAAGACCAATTTGGCAAATATACTTTTCTAAATTGATTCCGGTACGGGTGCTCTGGGAAGTGCCCTAGAATGAATTCTTTTGCTCTGGTACTGGTAGCACGTTTAGGGAATTTCTTAAACTCTGATATGGAGTCGAAGTCCAAAAATGTAAACAAACAACTGTCACTATCAAAGTGACATCTCATAGATCATAAACCTTTTTTTCTACGTTCGTTTATTACCAGGGTCTACTCTATCTTGACTAATAATTATAATGGAAAAATACCCTTTTGGGTTGAACAATTTACAAAACTTTTTAGAATCATCTTGTGTCGTAAAATATTTATTAATAAAAAAATTACGAGGAAATGAGAAGGGTGCCAGCTCATAGAAAATTACGCAATAGAAACATCTTAGAATATTCTTTATATTGGGAACATAAACTATGTTTTGTTCTCGACATATATATATTCTCGCTTGAGACTGGTGTAGTTTCCAAGAAGCTTTTCGTGGAAGCTTGCAAACGTGCAACCTGTGCCAAAAAAGGTAAGTCGAGCTGACCCTGTTAACTATAGACCTATCTCAGTCACTTCCATACTCTGCAAGACTATGGAACGTGTACTCAACAACCATTACCTATCGTACCTTGAAAACAGCGACGTCCTCAGTCATCGCCAGTACGGATTCCGACGAGGGCGATCTACTGGGGATCTTCTTGTGTATGCCTGTCACATATGGACCGAGGCTATAGAAAACCAAGGCGAAGCACTTGTAGTGTCTTTGGACATTTTGAACCTAGAACGCTACTCTTCCGAACATATGGCGATAGATCCGGAGTTCCTCAGGGTTCCGTACTGTATTCAACTCTCTTTCTGCTGCATATCAATGATATGTTAATTCCAGGTACCTTTGCGTATGCTGATGACAGCACAATTGTAGATAGTTACTTGACCAATGCAAGGGTCAGTAGAGAGGAAATCCAGTCTTGTCGAGAGTCCATGGTTAGCCGTTTATATTTGACATTCCAAGCAGTCTCCGATTGGGGCAATGCCAGTCTTGTAAAATTTAACGCTACCAAAACGCAAGCTTGTCTATTCTCCACAAAACGGAGTCCCTTTGAGCTGACTCCGATTTTTTGTGATATATCCATACCGATAGCCGACTGTTGACAGCTACTTGGAATGGACCTGTCGTCTAATTTGAACTTCGGCAAATACATTGAATCCATGGCCAAAAATGCAGCAAGGAAGTTTGGGATCCTTTCCAGGGTGAGGCGTTACTTTACACCAATACAGTTCTTCAGCTGTACCAAGCACAAGTCCGATCGTGTATGGAGTACTTATTTATATTTGGGATGGCTCTGCTACATATGAACTGGCCACTTTGGATTCAATTGACAACCATGCTAAAAGGCTTATAGGTGACTCAGAATTAGTGGAGGCGAAGCTGCAGAGCCTTGAACACCGCCGTAAAGTTGCCTGCTTATTGGTATTTTACAGGATATATCACGGAGACTGTGCGATGGAATTACACGATTTAATTCCGCCTTCCCCTTTCCATCACCGGGGGACTAGGCGTAGGCTTGAGTTCCACCCCTATGTTGGGAATATTCCAAAGTTTCGCACGAAGCGTTACGCTTCCACATTTATATCGCGAACGGCTATGGAGTGGAATTCCCTGCCTGCAGACTTAATCCCTGAACGTTATAACTTGGACCATGCATGCTCCATCGTCGACCTCATCGACACTTTCCATCAGGTGAGATGGAGGTCAAATGCGCACTTATATTTTATAAAAAAAAAGACTGGCGTGTCGCCTTCCACGAAAACTGCGCGCCAAAGCCCTTAGACTTGAGTAGTTCATGAACTATAACTATATAACTAGTTAGTAGCAGTTGAACTAGCTCATTGTGAAAGAGTTCGTCCAGGGAAGTACTGCCACCTTACCTATTTCTGCCGACAAGCAGTAATGTCATCATTCTGGTCTTGAAGAGTAACTTTTCAACTTATGTCTCAGGATCATGGGCGCAGAGGCAGTGCACCTCAGATCTTTGCGATTTATAGCTCTGAGTGGCACTGCAACTGTTATGGACAGGTGTGTCGTTTACCATCAGGCGCACGACTTGATCGTCCCGTCACTCGGTATCATAAAAAGAAACTAACCGGCGGTGGCAGCGGGTTTGCGGCTTGTTCTTTTATAAAAAAATAAAAAATGTACTTACAATAACATTACACTCTGAGTGCCCATTATTTTTACGTTATTTTAGACTATGTTAACATGCATTTTCATAGCATAGTAATTCCTGTAAAAAATATGTTGTTAGCAGCAGTAGAGGTCCAAAGCTCATTCAGAAAGTACAGCCGCCATGTTTACTTTTGGCATCAAACGGTAATACACACATTACTGCGTTTTGGTTTAAATGACTGATGAGAGTGGAGGAAGGGAAAGAGGTAAGTATATCAGAAACGTAACGGATGGAGGTCTATATTCACTATCTACCTCAGTGAGAAACCGACATTTAACATTGACGTATTATGCTATATAATTGTAACTTTTTTTTAAATCCGACTTCAAAATGTCGTGGAATTACATCTATTACCTCAAACGTACTCCTTTTTTGAAGATGGCTAATAAAATTATATCAAGACTACAACAGTCGAAATAACTTACTTTCTTTCGTAGTTACCTTTTTGAGAAATGAAGCACATATAGTATTAAGTGACGAACAAGTCGTGCGCCCGGTGCGGTGGTAAGCGACACGCCTGTCCAAAACAGTTGCAAAAATCTGAGGAGCACTGTCACTGCGTCCGTCATCCTGAGGTTGACAAGTCCCATGTATATGTTGGTTTACCAGTATCATTATCCTTTCAAAACGCAGTAACGCTGACATGACCGCTGTAATTCCCGACGACGAGCTCTTTCACAAGGCGCTCTACTGCTATTCCAGTGCTTTTTATTTATGTAATTAAAAGGATATGACTGTTTGGTAGCTGACAGAGTTTGAGATATGTGTATACGTAAGAGTCTACTACAACCTCAAACAGCTTTGGTTGATTGAAAAAATATATAGTTTTGAGCTTAGAATAATAACGCATAGAAACCTAGTCCGCACACGCTAAGTGAGGCAAATTGAAGCGCGCCAAAAGGGCCTACACGAGCGGACGGGCCTTCAGCGCTCTTTTTAGCTATAAATGAGGAAATGAGTGTAAAAATACGTCAGACAAACATAAAATAGATACTAACATCACATTCCACAAGGAAGTAACGCGTTTCAACTTGTATTTTTATATAAATATTCACTAAAACCGAAAATTAACCTACTACTAAGACTAGCCTACATGAATTTGATTTTTGCCTCACTTGTGACAGTTCGTTTGATATGAAACTATCATTCTATGCGCTATTATTCTAAGGTTTTGAGGATGTACGGTGTCAAAACATGATTCTTAAATAAAAATTTTCACTATAGAAAAAAAAAACAAACTTACCTGGAAATGTATAAGAAAACCGTTGTATTCATTAGGTACTTTACAACTGAACTAAGTAGAACACGTATGCTATACTATGTACATTTTTCAAATGTTTTTAATTTCGTTTGTAAAGAAAAATATCTGAAAGAAAACCGGTGTCCCCGTCGCTTAACCCGAGCAAAATGAATCGTATTAGTACGGGAAAAATTTGAGCTGGGGTAGTGTCGATTCTGAAATTTCTTATAGTCCCGGCGGTGTATTACCTCATCCGAATGGCAAGGTCAACAATCAGTCATTATTTGTTATCAACTGAATTTCATGGTCGCTTGGATTTACTTATCTACGATATTATGTGAATTTTAATTTTGTACATTAATTTTCAACATTTTCGCAATCTCAGTACAATTTATTTACTCTTCAGGCAATACGACTCTGGAACGCTCTACCGCCCCATATCCAAAAAGCGCCGAATAAGCTAGCTTTCAAACAATTAATCCTCGATCTCATATTGGAGTCTCAATCTACATCCCATTAGACATATATATAAAAATGTATATTAAATATATATATATAAATAATAACGCACACACTCAACATAGCCCCGCACTAGGGAAACCCTGTGTCGCGGGTGCCATGGACACACACATAGACAACCACAAATTACACCCAAACTCACGAGAGAAATAATTGTAGGCCATACAACTATTTCTCCCGGCCTGGGAATCGAACCTGGGACCTCTGCGTGGCAGTCCGGCATGGTATCCGTTCGGCTACGGAGGCAGTTAAATTAAATATAAATATAAAAAATTAAAATATGTGTACGTATTATATTTTATATATTTATGTTAATATAGGTTGCTTATATAAGTATATAGTTAGTCATATAATATTATGTGCTATATTTATATTGTGTTTAAACCATAGATATCGTAATTATTTATAAACTTCTTCCTATCTGTTTTAATTATCATGTTACCCTGTTAATTATTTTGAAGCCAGCTCTCCTGTTGACTGGTAGAGAATGCCTAATGGCATTAAGTCCGCCATTTGTACTGTTTTGTGTGCAATTAAGTTTAAATAAATAAATTTACGTGATACGAAAAAAGATGAAGTCAAGTACGTACTTACATATATTGTAATAGCTTTTTTATTTAAAAAAACCGACCTCCAAAAGTTCGTTGAATTACAGCTATTTGCCAAGTTTTATTGAAATCGGTTACCGGATTCATCCCCTAGTTAGCCACCCGAGGTGGACTATTTTCTTCAAATATAAATGGGACCAATACTGAGGTACCCTCTTTCCAACAAAAAAAAGTACCATCGAAATCGGTTCACAAATGTCAGAGTAATCGCGTACTGTATTTTTTCGTGTGTACGTTACACACAAAAAAATACAGTCGAATTGAGAACTGTCTTTTTTAAAGTCGGGTAAACAATCCAGAAAACTGGAAATAATACTTATTTTTCGGATCTAATCCAAATCCAAAAATATTCTGTATTTATTGTAATAGAGATAGTATCTCTAACAATGGGGGCTGTTCCATTCGGTGCTGTGGGAAGAACAGCGAAACATCTAATTACAAAACAAACGGAATCACATTTCATCGGTAATTAAATATTAAATACGTAATTTTGCAATTTTCGTCCATTATAGCAAAGCCCAAGTTAAGCTGATAGATTTGAAGTGAAAAAATTGACGGCACCCTTCAATTGTTTCGACTACGGGCTGTAGTCACCGTAATGATTTGGCAGAATAGTTTTTCATTTCGTTTCGTCGTCTATTTCTGGTTATATACTCAATGATTATTAAAAATGACTGGTTGATAACTTTACTATATCTGTTAGCCGTCATCGTGGAATTTGGAAACTCAAGTCCGCTAATTATAAATCATCTCAATTGTGTGTCGGTAGAATACCAATGGTAGGTTTTGGTATACGTTTGGTATTCTGTTAAAACTTTCTGACTCTATAGTGGCTTGTCAGTGCCTAGCCATCGAGTTGCTATTCCCCTGCCATTGCAAATTTTTAATTATTCTGGGCCCCAGAGCACACCCTGGACACTCCATACAACGGTTGAAAGTTATTTATCTACTACTACTAAATACAGCAAGGCGCTATCTGCACACACGCGAATGTGTGCGTGAAGTGGGAGGGTTACGCATCACATTCTCGTTCTATTGCGTTAAGCGAAAATTCTAACGCGTATCTGTTATCTATAATTATATTAATAGTATCCTAATAATTACACATGTTCATTAGGTATTTATATTCATATAATATTACATTTTTCTATTTGGTTGTGACGTAACTAATTTTAAGACTTGATACCAGATTTGCCAAAAAAAAAATTAATCTACTTACACGTTTCATTATTGTAGGTCGGCCAATATTCGGTGTTCTCAGCCTAATATCCGTAACCATTATGGTGCCCATTTGACCTCGATCTCAACTGATGGAAAGTGATGTTGAGGTCGACGATGTAGCATGCAGACCTAAATAATGCCTATTCACTCTCGCCTTGAAAAGGTCCAAGTTATAGCGTTTAGGTAATATGTTCGCAGGCAGGGAATGCTACTTTCTAGCCGCTCGCCATATAAATGTGGAAGCGAAACTCTTCGTGCGAATCCTGGGTCCTCCGATGGTGTGGTGGAAAGGGGAAGGCGGAATCAAGTTATACAATTCCATCGCACACTCTCCTTGATATATGCTGTAGAATACCGATAAGCAGGCAACTTTACAGCGGTGTTCAAGGCTCTGCAGCTTCGCCTCTACTAATTTCGAGTCACCTATAAGCCTCTTGCCACGCTTGTCGATTGAATTCAAGGTCAAAGTCATCCCATAAGTGGCAGCAATAGGTACTCCATACACGACCGGACTTGTGCTTGGTACTGAAGCAACTGTCCCTGTGTGAAGTAACGCCTCACCTTGAAAAGGATGCCAAGCTTCCGGGCTGCATTTTTGGCCATGAATTTAATGTATATGTCGAAGTTCAGATTGGACACAGGTCCATTCCAAGTAGCTGGAAACGGTCGGCTATCGGTATGGATACATCACGAAAAGTCGGATTCAGGAGAAAGGGACTCAGTTTGGTGGAGAATAGACACGCCTGCGTTTTGGTAGCATTAAATTTGACAAGATTGGCGTCACCCCAATCACAGGCACAGGTTGCACGTTTGCAAGCTTCCACGACCTGGGAACTTCACCAGTCTCAAGTGAGAGGCGATATAAGCGTGTGAGAACAGGAGACAACACTGGCTCTCCGTTCGCTGCGCTCCGCTAGCTTTATTCACATCTAAACTTCGCAGAGTTCTGAGTACCTGTTTTTCGAACGTTGCTTTGCGTAACACTCTTTTGAACTTCTTGGCGACCTTATTAAAAGCTTCGACTGCAGCATCAGCGCAGCTCGACGAGTCTCCTTAAGAAAAGCTAGTCTTCCAGGGATATGAAGCAAAGAAATGGCGCATTTCGTCCCAATCTGCCAACCTGTGGTTGTACAGGTCCCCGTCTCATACCACCAGGGTTCTGGTCGGGTGGGAAGTGCACGGATACAGTTTTCACCAGACAGTGGTCGGAAGTACCCAGTCCTTATCACAGAGTATCGCTCTGGATCAGTTGTTAGCAGAAGGTCTTGCTTGCAATTAGCCATACGAGACTTAACATCTAAGATCCTGGTCTATATGGCTATTAAATATTTTTTCTTATTTAATTTGTGTTTTTTCTCCAATATACATATTAATTTTGGTGACGATCAATGTTGGTGATAAACCAAAATTTCATTTCCATATATCTTTATAATCTCAGTACAGAATACTGAAAAAACCGACCTCAAAAATTCGTGGAACGTCTATTTGCCAAGTTTTATTGAAATATTCCCTAGTTCGCCACTATACAGGACTTGACATAGTAGATAATAAAAATCGGGTCTCACTGCTCAAAGCAAATTGAGAGAGAAAAACGCCTTGAATTGGGGAATAGCAAAATCAACCATTAAAATAAGCAATTATTTTAATGGTAAGTGGTCCTTATAATAAAATTTAGGCGCTGTTTATAAAAATGAATCTTCATGTGTAAACTGCCACTCTTAGAGGTGGATGATTTTCTTTAAAATGAAATGGGACCACTATGGAGGTACCCTCTTTTCAACAAAAAAGAATCATGAAAATCGGTTCACAAATACCGGAGTTATCGCGTAACATACATACAAAAAAAGCATACAGTCGAATTGAGAACCTCCTTCTTTTTTGAAGTCGGTTAAAAACTACTTGACATTTTGAAGGGCCGGTAAGATATTCTTTTTAGATTTAATTTTTAATATAATACGAACGCGTAATGTTTACCTACTTAAAACACAAAATTAAAAATTGTCACCAAAATTAGATAACCGTACGAGTACCTGTTGAAAATGCCTGTTGAACATTTTTAAGAAATACTGTCTATTTGTGACACAGCTGAAGTATAATTTGTCTATTTTGATACATTTGGTTTATTTCTACTGATACAAGTGGCAATCAAGATGTTTGAAATAAATGTAAAGTAGTTTCTTTTTAATATTTGGTTAGTGGTAAATGACTCCAATTCTTTCTTATGATTAATGACAGCTGCTACAAGAACAGTGTAATAATTTACATTTTGATTATTTCTGTCGATAGAAGTTTTAAAAAATTTGAAAAATATTTTCTAACGGTGTAATTCATTACAAAAAGTGTAGAAAATCAAAGTTATTTGTGTGCGGTTGATTGTTCTTCATAATTTTTGTTTTTATGTTGTCTTAAAAATGTTTATCCATGGCTTCGGTAATCATATCTAAATACCGTTTTTCATAAAATATTTGTGTCACAATAACTTGAAAACTACTTTGTCGACGATCATCTTTAATCAATAAATATTTGGCGTACTGATTATTGCTCGTCCCGTCACTTGATAGTATGAAAATAAAAATAAAAAATTCTCAGTTTTAAGCATCCGGTATCCAGCCGGATATTCTTGTACTATCCGGTATCCGCCCGGATAGTAAACACAAGTCGGATAGACCGGATATCGGATAGTTACCGGATACCCGTTTCATCTCTAATTCTTACGCAGTTACTTTTTTCAATAATACTATGTGAAATTATATTTCTTATGAAAGAAATCCGACTATTCGTGGACAAATATTTTATTAAACATAATAAAATATTACTACAGCATATATCAAGAAACAATACTTGTACCACGAAACAATTACTTATTAAATTTTAGCA